GAGAAACGAGAAACACTTATGAACCACATAAACAAACGACAACTACTGAACATCAGATTCCTGACTAAGGACAGGTGCAAATATTTGAAGCGGGTTTAAACATTTTAATGGTACCAAACCTTCACCCTTATCTGAAACAATAGTGTAACATCTTGCCTTTTTGTCATTTTGATGGTATAATGCATATGTTGAAATTAAAATTGTAATATTTCAACATGTTAACTTTGCAAAATATTCTTCAAAGACAATGACTGCAGGTGCAGGGCCTAATAACCTTCTTGATATTGAGAAATATCAATGCTTATAAAACTGCATACCAAATACCATTGACTTATCATAAGTGGTTCCCTATAAACTGACCTAAACACAAACTTTTACATGTAAACTATGCTAAAGTTTGAAATTCAGTTAATCATGATGAGGGGGCTGGGCCATATAATCTCCATGCAAATGCTAATACAATTGCATACCAAATATCATTGACCGATAAGTGGTGAGGGTGCTAGATGTACCAATGCTTATACAACTGTACTGATTATCATTAACCTACCGCTTGTGCTAATCCCCTTAACCTGACCTGTGCATATATTTGTCCCCCTTTTATAAATAAGACATTAAACTCTCTTTTTATGTTTGTCAACCTTATCAGATGGACATTAACATCTTACAATCATTCTATACACAGAATAGTAAATACCTATTACTTGCAGCATCTGAGACCTAATCAACAAAACTAACATTGCATGATGAATGAACCTTAAAAATGTGGAAATGGTCAGATGAACCCTAGCAGACATTTACACCTTATAATTAGTTGAAACACCAAATAAAGTTGACCATTACTAAACAGTACTGGTAGAGAACCAGATACCGTCAGTTCCCAGTCATTTGCCATTTTATTCAATAAAGGAAGCGTTGCGTAAAAACAACAGACTGCTGATATCTTCAGATAACATTTTAAGTTCATTTGTAAAAAGTCTGGTTTTGTTTGATCCAATTAAGATAGGGAAATGCTGATTTTTCTGTAAACTAAACATGTCGTTGGAAGATACATGTGTTGGGACATGATGTCATCGTTTTATGATCTCCTTGATTTTGGAAATTTTCCATTTGAAGACAAAGCATGATCTAACCTTGCGTTAGAATAAACAATTTGTTTCAAAAGAATTTAAAAAGATTTATAATTTTCAAAATGTCTCTCTACCAGTTCAATACAGTGTAAGTGGTTGATTATAATTGACATAAAATGCACATTCAGAGCAGGAAGGAGACACATTCTTTGAGAAAAACTGTGAATTTCAGACGGTAACTGGTACTAGAAAGTTAAATAGTTTATTCTCATAAAACCCATGCAAGTAGAAAGGTTACAGAGAATTTAAAAACATGCATACAAAATATTAGATCTAATCAATAAAAACTTATCATTGCATGATGAATGAACCTTAAAAATGTGGTCAAGGTCAGATGAACCCTAGCAGACATTTACACCTTACAATTAGTTGATACACCAAATAAAGTTGACCATTACTAAACAGTACTGGTAGAGGACCAGTTACCGTCAGTTACCAGTCACCATCATGCAAAGTTTACATGTTGAAATATTACAATTTTAATTTCAACATATGCAGTATACCATCAAAATGACAAAAAGGCAAGACTAGACCAGTACCTCAGAAAAGAACATTATCAAAAAAATGTAACTTTGAGCACTGAACCATGAATATATGAACCCAGTCAGACAGACATATATACCTTGCAATGATTATTTACGAACAAGAATATGTGTCCATAGGACACCATGTCCCCAACATATTTATGTTCAATGAACCTGTAAAATCTGGGTCAAAACCCTAATTTGGTAAATATTTTTAAAAGGTCATCATAGAGAACATCTGAATGAGATTTCAAGTTAATGTGGCCACAACCTCCTTTTATACAACCTGAACCAAAACTCACATGTTCAAAGAACTCCCAAATCTATTCAAAACCTCAATTTCTCCTGGTAGCATGCTTGCTCCAGTGCAGGAGGTCATTGGTTCAAACCCTGTCCAGATCGGTTTTAACTGCTTCTCAGCAAGCACACAAGTGTCAGAAGAGATCCCAACAGGTTAGCTATAGTTGGTGATATTAATGAACAAATAAACCTCAAATATGTCAGTTAATGAAAGATACATTGTTTATACCAATTTATATACTAATTTGATTAATACTGATTTTGGAGCCTTCTCATGGGGTTTTTGATTATGTGATTACTTGGCCGTTTTTATAGTGATTATTTGATTACCAGACCAAATATTTCATGATTTGATAATCTAGGACTGTATTTTTGATTATTTGATTATCTTGTTTAAAAAAATAATTAATGATCATGTGATTATATTGGCAAAAAATTTGTGATTCTGTGATTACTTGGACACCTCCATGAGGGGCCTCATTTTGCATATTTATCATTTCTCAAAAACATCAAGTGGATATTTAACAGCTTTTCAATGTTTGTGCAACACATTTAGCAAAAATTTAAATGAGATGCTTTATTAGTTACAATGCTTACTTAAGAAATGAGAATTCTTGCACTAATGAATGTTGATGAATAATATTTTGATTTTCAATTTTTGGCAACAGTTGACTAAAACGGTGTCCTATCCTAAAGGATTGTTACCACTACAGTTGGCTGTGAACATGGTGATAACTGCTCTTTGTGTTTCAAGACTTTGTCACAAAATTGCAGATGATTTCGGCAGTTTTCCTAAATAACCACAACACTACAAACAGATATCAGACAATACAGGTATGACTCAATCTGACATAACCTGCACTAAGTCATCATGATAAACACAACTTATGGTTTAGATAGGCAAAGGGGAGATTTGTACACACCTAAAACTGGTTTAACCCCTCACATTTTATACCAATACAAAGTTAAGCTATCTAGACCATGTGTTGTTCATTACTGTTTGTTTTTTGGAGTAGTCGGTTGTTAATGGTTGATGTGGTTTGTTGCATTGTGGGTAATTCCTGTTACCCCTTGTTATGTTTAAACTTGAAAAGAAACAGATCACAAACACAACTCAATGCAATAACTTTGTATACAGAAATACTTTATTTACCTCAACCCATGTTTAAATCAGTTATTCTTAAAATCAAACACAAAGGTCACGGGAAGCCTTTATAAATTATCAGAGTTTTCACACCCTCTGAAAATTATGATGCTATAAAATCTTCAAAGTTATGGATGAACAATTTATACACACTACTTCAGACGTTGCATGAAGAGATCCGACTTTCTGGTAAGACGGAATGGTGATGTTGCTAAACTATTTGCATTGGTACTCAAAAACCTTTTTTTTTTTCTCTTCTTATTGAATACATTAAACCACTATAGGCTAAATGAGTTTGTTGTATTGTATGCAATACATGAAATATTGTGCCATTCTTATATTTATAAAAAAAGATGTGGTATGATTGCCAATGAGACAACTCTCCACAAAAGACCAAATGACATAGAAATTAACAACTATAGGTCACCATAGGGCCTTCAACAATGAGCAAAGCCCATACAGCATAGTCAGCTATAAAAGGCCCGAAATGACAAATGTAAAACAATTCAAATGAGAAAATTAACGGTCTAATTTATGTACAAATTAATGAACGAAAAACAAATATGTAACACTTGTATTGTCTGCTAAGAACTTCTGTTTCCCATTTTGTTATGTTACATGTAAAGCTGTTTATCTTTAAATCATTTCATATTTCAATTTTCTATGTTCTCTATCATTAACAGTTGTTCTGTTTACTTCTTCAATTTTATGGAGCATTTTTGTGTATGTTTGTGTGTGTGGGTAATAATATCACTTTTTTTTTACACAAAAAATCAATTATACCTAAAATATACTTGATTGATAAATGTTCAACAGAATACCTATTGTTACCACAGTAATGTAATAAAGAACTCAACAACTAAGATCATATCCATTCATTATGAAGCTGGGTTTATTTCTTGGTTATCATGACTAAATTGAGAGGGGGTAGATCAATGAGACAGTAACTCACCTTTTTTTATTTATATTTTTAACTATATCACATGGATCATCACAGCTGTTATCATAAATTACTCAGCATACCATTGGAATTTGCATTCAAACATTCAAATCTCTTTGTACCACTAAAGGATCATCAGGTACTGAATATTAAATGTTGTAAAATTTGAAATTTAGAATTTTTCGATGTCATTCAAAACAGAAATTAGCCATATTACAGTGTATACTTAAATGACTTTTTTATAGTGGCAAACTGAATTTCTTGTCTTTTTCATCTGTTTTCTTCAAAGCACTCTGAAATTTCATCAGATATACTCACTATATTTAAATAGGGAAATCATTTTAGGGGGCAAGTTTTACTCCAAAGAAGACAGTTTCCAGAGAAGACAGTTGTTTGAAATCAGAGATTAAATAAGTAAAAGCCAATTGTTTTATGGCCAGATGAAAGTGTTTGCTTTTGAATAGGTGTTTGCTTGAGGCATTGTTTAGTTTTGTCAGTTAGACAGGATTCACTGTATTTTTCAGATGTCCACTACTTTTGATGATTTAGTTTTTAATGACTCAATTGGTTGATGTTTATCACAATGTTGTCAACATATCGATGTTTCATTTGAGGATGTAGCATAAAAATATGTTTATTTTGTTGTTTTTCCAATGTATATAACTAAGAGGAGGAGCAAAGTAACTTTCTTATTTCTGACAAATTACAATGCAGCACAGTGGAAGCAAAGTAAAAAATTTCTAGTTTATAATTAACCATGCAGAATCTCAAGTTCAGTGTTTGTACACCAGAATGAAATAAATTCTCACACCATACGTGTATATAACTAACAACAATGTGTATATTTTTGAAAATATTACCCAGAATGCACTAGATATTGAAATGATAAAATCAGTGTACAAGCTGATTCTTGTGCATGGTCTACTTTACACAGTCTTCAATTTTAAGCATGTAAACACAAATATGAATTCTGATTTTATTAAATAAACCAGACCATTATGTATACACATACAAGTAATAGGTTCTCATGATGATACAAATATTGCAAATAATTCAATGTATATACAACCTTGTTTTGTAAATCAAATATAAAATGTCTGTAAAGATTTGTCTCAGTGTCATGTTATCACCTAAAATAAAATAAAGTTGTTCTTTTTTTACACTATCTTTAAAAAAAATTACATAGTAAAATTGTACCTAGATTTGATCAATCCGAAATATTCTAAATTCAAATCCTGATCAATTCTTATATAGTTTTTCTCCTGTACACAAATTCTATTTAATATATTAGTTATAACAATAAAGAATAGATGATACAAATAAATTAACTAAAATTTCTTTCAAGTTATAAGAAAAACAAAATATCTGATAAACAACCACTTAATTGTAATGCTTTAAAATTTCAATGTTTTGACCCAAAACAATAATTAAATAATCACTTCCGACTCTTGGATTGTAGAATATTAACAAAGCTACACATTTGTTCATGTTAATTATCATATTACAATTAAATATTCAGTTTTCCACAAGATGCGTTGCATAACGAATGAAGTGAAACAGATAAGCTTAGCTCATTATCCAAACAGTTTTGTTGAACTACAATAAATAATGCCCTACTTTTGTGTCATCATATTTTCAGTGACCTAATTTATTATATAATCAACAAACATATTTCTGATAAACTACCCTGACTAGACAAGCTAATGAAATGCAGGCTCCTTATTCTAGCTGTAACTCTTACTTAATCTCATGTTTATTAGGAAAAAAAATAATTCTTGATTCTATTGAATTGACAAATGAGGAAAAGTATTACGGTATTCAAATATGAGTTTAAAAATGTTTGGTTCATCATTGCCAAAGGCTTTAATGAATAATTTTTTTATCTATTTTTGTAATTCAATTAATTAACAGAAATTTAGTAAGTGTACAGGAAAATATTTTACAAAAGCATGTATGTGAAAAATTTGTTTTTTCTTCAAAAAATGCTGCTGATTTTAGCATCCCTATAAGGCATCAATAAATACAATTAAACAAAGCACTTGCTGTAGGATGTAAACATTACATCAATTTTTACCTCACAAAAACCTACAATATTCACTTCTGAAGTGGTTTTTAAAAATATAAATTACAATAAGAAAATTAGAAAGACAAAGAAGGGAAAGTAAACACAAATTACATTATAACATACATGTATCTTAATTCTAATTACACAAGTTTTTTTCAAGACCAATTAAGAAATTTAATTTCCATCCTCTTAAATCATGTTGTGCAGTTTCAGTGCTCTTCCTCATATACGACATCTAGATCAATCATAATGTCCAATACAATGAATTTCCAACCATTTCTGAATTATGCCATTAAATATTATATACCTGTGTTGTAGCAAGTTAGTGGACTATAAATAAAATATGTGTCTTAAAAAAATATTCATAGAAAAATACTCTCCAATTTTAACTAAGTTGTGTTTAAAAATAAAAACTTCCATAACAGCAGTAAACTATGGCAACACTTGTAATGATATACAAAAAATGTAGAATGATTTGGTGTTGTATTGTAATTGAAACAAGACAGCTCTTGTTTGTATGAATCTCATTTACCCATCAACAGTGAAATTTTTAAATGGAAACAAAAGTTGAAAGTACAATGTACATGCTTTTAGTCATGGTGCTGATTTTGTGAAATTAATAATCATTTTAATTCTAAAATTTAGTTGTGAATTTGCATATGTGAAAATAATAGCTTTATACTAAATTTGGACTAGGCCAGGAAGCATGCAAGGTGATGCAAAAAACTAAAAGATATAAAAATGTTAAAATCTACAAAAGGATTCATTACAAAGCAGCAATTTGTAAAGTTCATCTTCACACCCAAACGCAGGTATATGACCACGAAAAGTTTAACATTCCTTGGCAAAGCTTTCTCACATGGTAATGAGTGATTTAAATCAATCAGTTTTTTTTTCATAACAATTTTTTTTCATTGATTTTTCTCACACAGGAACATTTTACTTTCAGAAGGCATTTTATATTACCAGTACATTAATCAATTTTATACGAAATTGTAACTTCCATTTCATATTTCTTACAGCAGTTTCTTTGTCGAACTAGAAATCCCCTGCATATGTTCTGCGTGTCAATAAAGAATTTTGGTAAAATGCCTGCCAAAGTTAGATCTACTGCTGTATTGAATATTGACATTCTACTATTATATTGTTTACATTTTATCCTCATTTCTCCTTAATGTTTATTCAGATCCTTTTGTTAGAAGCTATTTTTGGAATCAAACAAATAGAATTGTGGAATTATTTATTCCTAATTGTGAATCTCAAAATCAAAAACTGAATATGAACTCAATGTGTAAGAAAATGAGAAGCAATAAGAAAAATTTAAAACAGTTGAAGCAGGATAGATCCACACTGTAACAAAATGAAGATAAAATATATTGTACGAAAATAATATTCAAATTTTCTACCGCAAATCATCATTGTTTTTTTTTCAAGCAAAACAATAATGACTTGTTACAGAAACAGTAGACCTATCACACAAGGTGCTCAGAAAATGTAAGTTATCTATATAATGTACAGGCAGAAAATTAAGAAATAAATTACTGTGTAAGCAAAGGTCTTATGTCCAGAATAATTCTCTTCCAATGAGGTCTTTTCAACTTTTTGTTTACAAATAGTACAGAAACTCGAGTCAGAAACTTTCTTGTATAATAAAAGTAATGCAATGCTTGAAAATATTTACTTTTACCAAATGACTAAATAATGATATCACATACATGCAGAGAAGTCAATGAATTCCCCAAATCCTCAATTCTATCAAAAATTCTTAAATCCTAAACTCTTTCAAAACTGACAACCTTGTAAAATCCTTAACTCTATCAAAACTGATAACTCAGCAAGTAAACATCAACTGACTTAGGCCATCTTACCACAACCAACCACATAATAGGTTACTAGGATGTACATATAAAAGCTGACTGAGGTCAACCTCTATTAGACAACTTTGGATATAGTACCCAATATGTAGATTGCAGTATAATGCTAACATATGATCAATATTGTGTTGATACCCAATTTTTAGGATTCTGGTAAAGTCTTAGCAAAGACTGACTACAGATCCAAATTGTTGTGATATCCAATATTTTAGTCTTAAGCCTAACCAAATCTTAGCTATGGCTGTCAACAGCATCATGCTTTCATTACCTAAAAGGTCTTGCTATCTGACATACAGACCACACGTGGGACCCAGCAGGGAAAACTTATCTTTTAGGTACATGTGATGTGTATATCAAAATTTGAAATTATCTGGGGCTTCAATCACATAACTTTCAGATCTTCATATTTCTAGATTTGAATGAATCATCCATATAACCAACGAACAGATCAAAACTTTAATCACAAAGACTCTTTCATCAATACCAATCCTTTACTTTTCATTTCAAGCTAAATAAAAATTCAATAAATATCAAAATTCCAACCTTAGTTACTAGTTTTCTGCCACATACTTTATATAGATAAGTTATTAAACTAAAAGGTTTCTGCATATGACAAATTCTAATTTAAAAGGAAAATAAAAATGCATGCAACTAAATAAAAAAAAACATAAACAGATATTAAACTTTCTTATCTCTCATAACAAGAGCTCTACATGCAGCCATGTCTGTTCTTTATATTAATTTCAAAGACATCTACCAAATATATTTTTTTGGAATAACATCATCTTTACTTTTTTTTGGATAAATAATCAATATTGATTCCAATAAAGCATAGCGGTATAATTTTGAATTTACCAAAAATTACTTAAACTACATAATGTAGCCATAAAGCTTACAATAATAAAGTAAAATTTTACAAATTAACTGAGTTATCTTCCCTTATCCTTTATAATCATAGTTTATTCAGCACCATGAAATGTTTTGTTAATTTTACCCTTAGCCTATCTATCTTATTTAAAATATTGTTGTTTGAGAAAGTCCACAAACATAGAAAGTCTAAAGAAAATGTAAAAGATACACACATATAGAAAATTACATGAACAATTTTATCATTTCTCCTGCTACAAATATTTGGCCTCAGTAAAGAAGATATATGTATACATAAGATAACAACTCTATAGACATAATTCTATAAATACATTATTGCAACCATAACAAAAGTAAAGCAACAACAAATATAAAATAATTAATAATACACTATTTCATATAAAAAAATACCAAGCTCATTAGATGTACAGCAAGTAAAAGTTTATACTATAAAATGATATGTATATTCACATTGCACATGGTTAACATTCTATTTCATAGATGTGTGCTTTCAACTATTTGTCTTTAGAAAGATTAAAAAAATTTGAGACTTTTTTTTCTGGATTCAATTATCTAAACCTTTGTTTCCCAAGAGACATTAAAATACATTTGAATAAAGTAAAAATCCAAAGATTAAATGTATAACGAATCTTTAGACACAACTTGTATGTGCTTTATCTCAAGTGAGTAATAAAAATAGTGAATTAATAGACAAATTGTTACCATTTAAAATGCCATTATTAGTGTGGTTTTGGTTTATGAAATAATGTCATATGATTTGAAAGTCTACCTTGCCATTTGTTTGAGGTAATCAATGGTTAAATTTCTCTCCTTTACAAGCCATACATATGCATTTAGTACATTTATACAACAATAAATGCCTTTATTTCCTTTTGATATTAAAATCTCAGAAAAATACAACCCTTTTTTAGTACAAAAACACATCTGCTTCTTTTGTGTTTATTTTCTATATAGGTTAAAATTACCTAAAATATTCAAGTTGAAGCGTTTTAAAATAAAATCATCAAGCCATTTAAATTAGCATAGTACTCTAACAATATTTGAATTTTTTTTTTTTAATACATATATAATCTATAGTAACCTTCTAAAACATATGAATAAAGCAATATCATTTTTTTAACATGAAGATGTTTGAGTACATATTTATGCATGTGACAAAATGAATAAAAATACACAGATCTTTTCTCCTATTTTTCTTCAATGAAGCAAAATGACAATATTTGTTCTTGCATGTTTACTTATTTGTATAAAAAATCTTAAGCAATGATGTTTAGGCACCTTCTTCCTGGACAAAGTAATGTATAAAAAATCTCCCGCAACCATCAACCATGTGGTCGGCATGATTTAGGACTTTTTTAAAATGGCTCTAACTTTGTGAGTTATATAGTCTCTGACAGGATCAATAAATTTAAATTGTTGACGAAGTTCGCTCACCATTGGGTGTTTTATGTTTGAGTTCAAGATAACAATCAAAGTAACTGCCAGTGTCACAAAAATAAAGAATAATGTGAAAAATAAGATTTTACAACAACCAACGCCTCCGCTTTTTGGCTTTTCTTCTACAGCCTGATTGGCTGGTTGAGCTGTGACAGGAGAGATGTCATTCTCTTTCTGCGATGGTGGTGCTGACTGGTTACGCTCTGACTTGACTGGTGCTACTGTTTCTTCTATTACTGGTTCCTGCTGTGTGACATGGTTAGGCTGTTGTGGCTCGCTATCTTTCTTAATGATGTAATCCTCTAGATCCTTGATCTGGTCTTCTAAACTAGACTTTGTAACATCTTCTTCAGTATCATAAGACTCGTCATATCCTGTGACATTATTAATAGAATCTTCTAGAATTGTTTGTTCAGGTTCATAATTAGGCATTGAATCAAATGTTGTTTCTAATACATGAGTTGGAACAGAGCCATTCATTTTCTTAGGGGGTTCAGACTCAACCTGAACAACTTTGTTGTGTTCAATGACTTCATCCAACGAGCTATCTTCTGAGGCAGCCATTGGTGCAACAACAATAGGACTGGGAGCCAGGTTAGTGACAGGGCTACTCTTCTCCTTGGTTTCTTTTTGAGTTACATCAATTGGAGTTTCTGTAAAAGACAATAAACATCTTAATTATAATATGTACACTGTTTTTCTAATGCATGTCTATAATTATCAACTTACTTGGAATTTCTCCATTCTAATTGAAATTTGAATGACTAAATTTTTTCCTGTGCATATGTATAAATAGTATCTTATATGCCATGAATGAAATCTTGCATAACCACAAAAACTGGCATTGCACTTGAAATTAAAGCCTAAAGGATCATTCAAACAAATGAATAATGTTTTTGACATCCCAAATTTAAGATAATGGAGCTGAACAAGTACCCCTGGCATGTTGAAGGCCAAAATTTGTGTGGAAAAAAAATGTATACTAGCCTGCTTTTGCTGATGTCAGTGTAACAGTAAATCTATTTATCAGTTATATACGAGAAAATGAAGAAAACAATTTTAAAATCTTGTTATGGATACTGTATTATGAAGAAAAAGCTTCTGTCCAAGTTACATAATATTCCATGAAGGTTTGAAAAAGTGATTGATATCTAAAACTATGTCTAAATATTGGAGACAGAGATGTAGGATTGCTATGTCTTAGTTCCCAGACAAAATCCCCCAGGCTCAATAAAAAGAATCCAAACTATTTGTTTTCACAGCTTTTTTTCAAACTTTCCAAAAAAAAAAAAAAAAAAATTAAGCAGCTGCTGCAGACATGTTTTTGATATTCTAGTCACTAATGTTTAGTTATACACAGCTATACCCTGTAAATCAACTAAATGCATTAGTAATAAGTACTCTGGTTTAATCATAGAGCTACCAACACAATGTGCAAATGGTATTAGTGGAACATAGGATACTATTAAGGAAGACATTGAATTATATTTGCAGTATAAATTATAACATCAATATCTTTTTCTTTTTCTTTTTGAATTTGCATATATTTGTTTTCTAATTAAGAAACTTATACATTTGAATTTTTTTTTCAAAAAATTTGGAAAGTATCAATTACCCCTAAAGTTCCTATGTACCTAGATATAGATAACATACAGTTAATTTTGTTGTAGTTTTGTGAAAGTAGCAAATACTGTCTTAAAAAGAGAACCTTAATTCATGCAAAAAAAGATGGAACAGAAATGCATTCAAATAACACTAAAACAAGAAACATGTACACATTTAGCTGCAGGATAATGACGGAATTTTCTTGTTCCTCTCATTGCAAAGGTATTGTAAGAATGCCTACTATAATCAGACACAAACAAAAGGAGACGTGGAGTAAATATCAAATGGACAGCAATATTAATAACCCTTCAATCTTTTAATAGATGATACTATAATTGGGACAGTTACCAGGCTTTTTTAAATCAATATAATAATAAATCTGAGTGGCAACCTGATAGAGGACATCCCATCTAACCACGTGCACTATAAACCAATGACAAGACAATGATGTACTGGCAATTTTATCACATATAAGATATGTACGAAATTGTCATCTTTGCACATTAATAGAGCAAGATGCATTTGTGAAAGGCTGAAGTTAAATATTCTATACAGTTTAGTGCCTCCACAAAAGTATACTGCATGATAAAAATGAGAAAGGCTCTATTTTTCACATATTTGTGAAAGGATGCTGTAATCATTACAGCTAAGTAATTTGACCATAGAGGCCATAGAAGATCAAATTGATTAAGACTACTAATCATATTAACATTTTTGAGATTTCAGTGTATGTACAACGCTTTGAAACTTGACCATAAAGACAGTCCCTGATGATCTACTTGACAAAGACTCCAAATCATATGTATTTTTGAGATTTCAGGTATCTACACAGCTAAGTAACTTGACCAGAAATACCCACATTGATCAAATTAAGGTTCTCTAAACAATTGAATCAACCTCACAGTGGCATACCTGTCTATAAATATTCACAAAACATACAAAGCTAATTTGGTATCAAAACATTTAAGCAGGAATTTAAATTTCTTTTCTAAATCATTGACCTTTACATTATCTCTTTAGAAATTTCTTAATTGAATGGTGAAACTGAAATTTCTGCTCTAATACTACAACATAAGGTATTGTTCTTTTCATTTAAAGTTTTTTTCTTAAGTTGCATGAATTACAATTTTTATTCAATTATAGAGTTATCCTTCCTTTTAAAGCTAAATCTACTGTTCTGAGTTCTGGCTTCTTTATAATATTTTGTATGCAAGTTTTAAGCAGAAAGGAAGAGAACAACCATATGTAAATTATCAAAATTAACATACATCTGAACAGTTATATGAAAATATGTGTAGATTGTAGCCGTACCATCGGGGGGAAAAAAACAAAACAAAAATACATGTAGCACAAAATGCCAATTATATCAATTTTTCATATCATTACTATGAATTTATTCTGTGGTTGCACAAAAGCCAGCTTCTGCCCTCAATAACAAAAAATAAACCCAAATTTAAGGTAGCTAACAAGGCATGGTATAAAACATTATCAGCCAAATCACAGTCATACAATAGCTAAATCTGTAAAATGTCAAATTTACATCACGAGATCAAAGGTAAAAGCAGACAGGTATGCACTGTGCAGGTGAAAATAAAGACTACAGCATTTAATTGTACCTCTACACTTCTTGAATATGCTCAGTCAAATGTGTATTTATTTATTAAAATCTATTTTCTTACATGAAATTTTGTTGAAGATTGATACAAAACTGAATTGATATCAAACAGCTTGTCACTTAATCCTTCTTCTTATATTAGATTTGATTGGATCTTGGGTCTTGGGTCTCAACGCTTATAAAATGAATTCACTATCACCTAACATATAGTTCTTGGTTTTTATGAACTTACTTAATGATAAATCATTTGAAAAATATCCCATCTCGGTGATAGTTATTAGGTATGGACTTCAATGCATACCGGTAATTTGATGTCACTTTTTGCATGAGATTTAGATCAAGGTGACCTAATTTTGCATAGCTTTCATCACTATCTATGACCACAGATTGTATATCATTCGAATGTAGTATGTAGTTGTTTAAATATAGACCTTTTTACATCTGAATCTTGAAACAAAACTTGGATAAACAATTGAAATGTTATAAAGTATCCTTAAATCTATCAGGTCTGGGAACAAAAGGCATTTTTTTATTAATAAAAATTATTTCAATTATATGTTAAAATCAGACTTTCAATTACAATAAAGTGTTTGATGTACCGGTATTCATAAATTGTTTTCAACAAAAGTTCTAAAATTTTGTTATCTTTTTTAATTCGTTGGCATATCACAGTTTCTGCCAATAACCATTTGTTATGAGCATATTCTGTTTGTGAAAGATACATTCTCTTTCTCACTCTTTCTAAACTCACCTTGATATCTTTTCTTAGTTTTATCTACAATAGTGTATAAAATATCACATGCAAAAAGAGATACTAAGCTAGGATTAGAAACAAATGATAAAAACATGCAAAAAAGTCATGAATGAAATGTATTTCGACTATTCTAACTATTTTGTTAAGATTAACATGCAAACCCAGTAGGTATCAACCAACTTTCTTGTAATTAATCAATACTTTCAGATAGTTATTTAGAGTTTTTCACCAGAGAAATTTTGAATTCCTCTCTAAAACATTTATTAGACAGCTTCTCTAAAAATCTATAAACTTGTTTTAGTCAGATATGAGAATACTGGGTTTGCATAATGTCTGTTGATTAAATATTCGCCTAAACTAAACATGGCAATTATTTTAAACGAACGTCATAGCTGTTATGGACAATATTAATGCAAAGTTCTTGTTAATTGAAAACAAATAAACTGGGTTGTCACAAATTTAACATATCTACTACAGAAATAAACTTTGAATTAACTCAATTCACTTAAAGAAAAGTTCAGAAACTTTGCAAGACATAAATATTTCTAGGATTTACTCAATTGCTGCAGTTCAAAATATTTTAATAAAAAAAAAACACAATTATTTACTGTATATGAAAATTCTGCGATAGGCAATTAAAATAATACTTTCATTCATGATAAAATAACAAAAGATGACAATGAATATGTGTACATGAATGAAAATGAAAACGAACCTTCACATAAGGATATTGATATGGTTTGTATTATTTTATATATTTTAGGAAAGGTTTTAAACCAAACAATTGTAATATTTTTTTCTTTAAAGGTAATAAACTGATAAAACTGACATTGAATATTATAAAACAAAACATGTTAAGAATGATAAAGTAAGGCTTTTTCTCTTGCTTGACAATATTTTTGTGATAAAATAAATGGAAGTCTTGTAAGCAAATTACAGACCATTTACCATAGAAAAAAGCTACTGAATGAATTTAAACAGCAATGCTGCAATGAACACTGGCATTTAGGAGATACAGTATTGTATTTGACAATTTGTGAACATCAAATGACGACTTGATGGTTGCAAATTGAATTTACTGGAAACAAGTCAGCGTAGCTCCAAGTAAAGTAAGTTTGGGTCAGATAAAAAGTTGTGAGTAAGCATAGAAATATTTTTGGAAGCAATTCTACCAAATGTTCATTAATTCTTTTTTTCTAACTTTTTTTTAAAGCAAAAGTAAAGGCAAGAAAAAGCCTCAGTGGAAGGACAAATAAAGCACAAAAATGTATATATGGTGAGATATGGACAACAATATAAAGTATACAAACCTTCTTTGATAGCATTACCATATCCAATGGTATTAAACTTTCCAATAGCTGACCGAGAATCCAATTTTCTTGCATAATTAGGTAATGATGATGTCCTGCAAATAAACCACATTCTAATGCAATTAATTTGTAATCACAGCATCATATATTTCAAGAGAGTAGATTCCATGGTCTACCAGTCTGTTTCTAAGGAGAGTCGCTATTTTAAATTAACAAATTTATGGGTGAATTTTCTTCCAAAATAATGTCTTAAATTGAATATCTGTTAGTTTTGCATTAGAAGACCTCACTGTGACTTTGAGATGAAGAACAGCAATAAAAGCCCTATTCCTTTGCTTTTTGTGTTTTTTTTTTGCTGTGCATGTACTGATTTCGTGTCATGGATGGATACCTCATAACTTTTGTTTTTCTATTAATTGTATTGTATCTTAAGCTGGCCCAAGTACAACCTGGTTTGACAGTTGCAAATATCTATTTTCCTAGCTCCAATGTGTCGATAGGAACAGTCAATTTGCGACCCTACGTTTTATATAGGCCAAGCTTAAAACACAATACAGTTATCTCAAGTTAAAACTGATTATAATTTAGGCATATTTGATATCCAGGAAAGCAGTTTATATATGTTTAAGTAGTCATTGAGACACTTCTGATATGATATGATGGATGCTTCATCACATTAATCAATTTCAAGGACTTGAAACATAAATTCACTCATGATTTAGAAGGAGATTCTTGTTCTCAATCATTCTTCTGTGTAATGTTTTGCAAAAGTTTTCATTTCATCTCTTTTCTGTGTTGTTTGTCCTTCTTTCATTTATGATTTTTCTTTGCCCCTTAGCAATTTTCTAAAAAATTTTCATGCTGAACATTACAATAATGATGTTTATAAAACTGCTGACCAAATATGAAATCATCATATTCAGCGGTTTCTGAGAAAACCGGACAAAAATATATGTTAGATTATAGAACAGAAGAACAGGTGGAACGGACAAGGTGATTACAAAATAATACATATTATAATTGTACCTCACTAAATCTGGTTCACTTCTATCAATTTTTTCACTGGCTGTGTAAGCTTCTTGTTGACATCGACCACTAAAATACATTTTTGTATGTTATTACAAAGGTAAGTTAAGAATGCATCAAATAATTCAAATATTTGCAGATAGATTATAAGAAATAATTAATCCATCATTTTAACACATGGATAAAGGTGTAAACTACTGCAGGTCACTGTATAGCATTCAAGACGGAGTAAAACCTATACTGTCCATGTAACAGCATATTATCCATCAAACATTTCACAATTTCTAATGGATTATATAAACTTTTTTCCATTTTATTATTTGAATGACATAAGACTTTATAAAATGCAAACACATGTCATTTGAATGTGCATGAACCAAATACCCTTTCTGCTTACCTGAACCTAAACTTTGAACCTCTGGAGAAGATATTTCCACCTGATTTCACTTTTGGAGGATGTTCAGAATTAGCTAACCTGTAAAATATATTAAACAGAGAATGTAAAAAATCATTTTTTTGGTGTCACGTTCAGTTATATACAAGATTTTTGTATCACATTAATTTGTGATTTGCTTGCTTTTACTACCTGTTAAATATACATGTTCCATTTCAGCAACCTTGTAAATTATTATCTTTAGTTTAATCTTTATGTTAATTTTTCTTATGTCATCCTGAACATGCATAAAATATTTCCACTGGGTATTAAGCAACCAACAATCAATCAATCAATCAAATAATTATGCACACCTGTACAATGAATAAAAAATAATTTTTGTCTCTTAAATAAATTGCTTTGCAGAGCGCAGCTGGATACGACCGCAGAGGTACAACCCTGAACAGTTGGGGCAAAAATGGACACAATATTCAAGCTTGATACAGGTCTGAATTTGTATTGTAATTAAATATTTGACACATTATAGGTTTCTCACACAGAATAAATGTAGTCAAAGAACTTGAAATTGGTTGTATGATTTGAATTTATATTCAATTGAAGATTTTGTTGCTGTTGTGCAATACACTGTGCTGTTGTGCAATACTTAATAAATCTGTTATCAGACTATATACAAAGAATTAGCAAAATAAATTGTGACCCCCAATTTTTTTCTTTGGAAAATTGAGTTTCTTTCTTTATACATAATTTAAGAGCAGTGTAAGGGATAATCAAAACTTTGCGTTTGGATTACCTCCCTTACATTGCTTTTAAATTGTCTTAATTGTCCATTAACCAGGAAACCCTTGTTTTTCCCCCTTTTTTGCCCCTAATTCCTAAACAGTTTGAGCCATAACCCCCCCAAAGCAAATCCTAACCATCCGTTTCATGTATGGAAACTTGTGGTATAATTTCAGAGAGATCCATACACCGCTCCACAATTATTGTCTGGAAACTAGAAAAATGCTTATTTGGACCCCTTTTTGGCCCCTAATTCTTAAACTGTTAGGACCATATCCCCCAAAATCAATCCCAACCTTCCTTTTGTGGTTATAAACCTTGTGTTTAAATTTCATAGATTTCTATTTAATTATACTAAAGTTATTGTCCGGAATCCAACTGTCTTTGGACGACGACGTGATACCAATATACGACCGCAAAATTTTTTGTGGCTGTATAAAAATCTGATATTGATGGCAGATCTTTAGTAGTCTCTGATATTTTATTCACAATTTGTCAAAATTCTGGGGGGATTTTAAGCTTGACATAATTATGGTACAGACACTAAGTCTTGTTTATTTGTCTATATCATTTCATTCATATGCAAGTTAAACCTTTATAAATTTCTTCATGCAACTAATAAACCTTAACCCTTATAAATTTCTTCATACACCTAATAAACCTATCTAGCCCTCATATTTTTCTTTTCAGAGAATCTTTCAATTTTTGTGATATTTTTTTCAACTTGGTATAGTGTCTGTGGTGTCTGATATTTATTGGTAATACTCATTATTTTATCATATATATTATTCTACTATAATAACTCACGTAAAGAAGAGTTGTTGTTCTACGGCACATCTCCACAGGTATTTAGATGCAGCTGCTGTGGTACATTTGTATCCGACTGGAGCCTGTTTCTGAAAAGATTCACATATTCATTTAATATAACCAATGTTATTTTATAACATGTACAAAGTATTGGAAAATAAATATTTGAACTTGAATAACTGTGTATATAGTGTCTAAAACCTTAAATAGAACAATAATCATCAAAATTATAACAAAAGATTAAAAAATATGCTGTTGAAATAATTAAACATAGTCACATTCAATGACAGGATGTCAAAATAAAAAACAAAACAAAAACACCTGCAGTGTCGTTTGACTGTGCTTATATTTGTAAGTAAATTATTCCATTTGTCTACAATTTTTCTTCTTCCTCTATTCCAACGTGTTGTCCAAGTAAAATAATTTTAATAAAAAATAATAAAAGCTAACAAATCATCTACAATGCATAAATTAAAACCATTAGACTTCAACAAATCAGTAATTTTTTCCCAGTCAGTTATATGCTCTTACTAAAATAAATACATTAGACTTTTATTCAGTATGCAATGATACGGTGAATGAGCCATCATGTCACCCTGTTGCTTCATGCTTTGGCTAACTATAAGCTTCATGAACTTTGTATATAGATAGCACATATTACTTGTATTAGAAATATAAATAAGCTTATAGACCATGTGACTATACTATAGATGCATTTTTTTGATTGAACGGTTCAGCTAAAGCTTACTATAAACTGTTTGAATAGCAGTGATGCAGATTAAGAAGAGAGTATGTTCTGACTCTCTTTTAATTCTTTGTACATTTAGAATTTTGTATTCAGATCATGGAACTCAAGTTGTGTGGACTCAAGGCAGTTTAAATAGTTTATCATATCATGGGTAATTTTTCATTGTTAAAGTCTGTATGGTAATCAAGATTTTATTTTGTGTGTACTTGTCTTGTTTGGTTGAAGGCTGTATTGTAATCTAGATTTTATATTCAGTGTACTTGTGTTGTTTGATGGAATACTGTATGGTAATCAAGATTTTATATTTTGTGTACTTGTATTGTTTGGTTGAAGGTTGTATCGTAATCTAGATTTTATATTCAGTGTACTTGTGTTGTTTGATGGAATACTGTATGGTAATCAAGATTTTATTTTTTGTGTACTTGTCTTGTTTGGTTGAAGGCTGTATCGTAATCTAGATTTTATATTCAGTGTACTTGTGTTGTTTGATGGAATACTGTATGGTAATCAAGATTTTATTTTTTGTGTATTTATGTTGTTTATTTTAATACTGTATGGTAATCAAGATTTTATTTTTTGTGTACTTGTCTTGTTTGGTTGAAGGCTGTATCGTAATCAAGATGTTATATTTTGTGTACTTGTGTTGTTTGGTTGAAGGCTGTATCGTAATCAAGATGTTATATTTTGTGTACTTGTGTTGTTTGGTTGAAGACTGTATAGTAATCAAGATGTTATATTTTGTGTACTTGTGTTGTTTGGTTGAAGACTGTATAGTAATCAAGAAGTTATATTTTGTGTACTTGTGTTGTTTAGTTGAAGACTGTATAGTAAACTAGATTTTATATACAGTGTACTTGTGTTGTTTGGTTGAAGACTGTATAGTAAACTAGATTTTATATAGCAGTGTACTTGTGTTGTTCCGTTGAAGACTGTATAGTAAACTAGATTTTATATAGCAGTGTACTTGTGTTGTTTGGTTGAAGACTGTATAGTAAACTAGATTTTATGTTTTTTTTATTTGTGTCTTTTGATTGGTATCTCAATGATAACTATCTCATTTATTTCTCATCCTAGTTATTTGTAATTTGTCTAGTGTTAAAATGTAACTGATTGCCCACTTTTTTATTGTGCAGTATCTCAAGCATTTTGACCTGTTTTAAAATTGCAAATAGACCAGCTAAAAGTTTATTTCTAGTAAAGATGCCAAATGAAAGCTCAGCACAGAACTTCTAACTGTTTGCTATTTAACTAGATAAAAGTAAAATGTCATGCAAATGTGTGCCTGAATGAATGAATCAAAAAGATGGGGGGGAAAATATCCCTAAAAAATGTACATTAAAAAAGAAATTTTATAGAAAAGAAAGTCAAGAAAAGGATAACGACAGAATTTGTCCAGCTTTAGAAACCTAATATGTGCCCAAAATGATGTAATGATTAAATACAAACATTCTTTTTCAAAATTGTATATCATCACAACAGTTACTGTCAAGAAGCTCAAAATACACAATATTTAACTGAAACTTGTAAATAGTGCATGAATGTATACATGAAATTACAGACTATATCAAGCCATAAAGGTTATACAAAAGCTATCATGTACATTGTAGCAAAAATTTACCGTTTTTCTGCCCAAACTGTATCTCTATCAACACAAAGGTTATAATTAAGTATTTTTAGGAAAAAAATGTTAATACTTAAAAAGTATCAGCAACATAGATATTATCAACATAAGAAACTATGATATCTACAAGTTGCGATTCTACTTGCTTTTTATTGTGGGGTCGCTGACCATTGCATGATTATTTTTTTTTCAATTCTAGGCTTGAAATAATTCAATTGTCTCCTATTCTTATTGAAAAGAAGCTGAATAACATTTGTTTCAGAATTTTAAAAATTAGAACTTTAGAAAGTCTAAACAATTTTAAGGAGACATTATAGTACTTTTACAAACCTTTCCAATTTTTTTTTTAAGGAAAACAATTTTTCAATTTCAATAGCTTTCTGTTACTTGTCATAAAACATGGAGAAAAAGTTATTTTAAAATACTAAAAAGGTTTTATTTTTAAACTGGCATCTTTTCTTTTTCAATTATATATTCAGTGAGTGATATGACATAATAATAAATGGATCATATAAAAAAAAAATAGCTTTTTGAATTTCCATAAAGTATCAAAAAAGTAATGTATGAATTTACATAATGTATGCAAAAAATAAAATTTATGAACTCCATAATATATGGAAAAAAATGGAAAAAGGTAATTTACGAACTCTAGAATACATGTATATGGGGAAAAAAAAAGTAATTTATGAATTTCTATAATGTATGGATAACAGTAATTTGTATGCATGATGTGGCTTACAGGGCAACGGTCTGCAAACAAATGCTGATACTAAACTGATGAGATTGTGGATAACTTAGATTGATGCAGATTTTTAATTCTTCATTTAAAATCTTTATGTAAATGGCGAGATTTAACAAAATAAATCCGTAATATTAATTAGAAATTAAAAAACTAAGAGCAAATAAATACAGCATTAAATTTTGAATTTAGAATTGCCATAACCAACAAAATACAATGTCTAGCACCATACTATTTGTTGCTTAAAGTGTACACATTTTTTATTCTACCAGATTTTCTTAAAAAAAATTGTAAGAAATCTATCAAGTTTTTTTTTTTTTTTTACATTTTCATGTTTATATGTGTATAATTACATTACATCTATGTTTCACGAGAATTCGTTAATTTGATTGGCTAACAACAATCGTGTGTCATTCAAAAATTAACCTTCATATCAAAATGAAATGTTACATTCGTGATGACAGGTGCTTCTACAATAAACAGCTGCGCCATGAGCGCATGATACGCCCATTTTCAAAGAATAAAGTTCAATATCTTCTCAATGTCATATCAGAAATTTACAAAAACTAAAGGGAGGTTATCTTCATAGATATAAACCAGTCACCAAAGTTTCACGAAAACTGCTCAAAGAACTTTAAAGATATTGTCTTAAAACTGGAAAATCACCCCTTTTTATGAAAAAAATCCTATAACTCGGAAAAGTAAAATCTTAAATTTATAAAAATCAAAAGGGAGCTTACGTCAATAGATTTAAACAATTCACCAAATTTTCATGCAAAACTGCTGAAAGCATTTTTGAGTTATTGTCCGAAAACTGGAAAATCCCCCTTTTTTAATGAATAAAACCCCACAACTTGGAAACGTAAAATCAAAAATTTATAAAAATCGAAAGGGAGCTCATGTCAATAATTATAAACAATTCACCAAAGTTTCTTGCAAATTGGTGAAAGTGTTTTGAGTTATTGGCTGAAAACTGGAAAATCCCCCTTTTTCAATTAATAAAACCCCCATAACTCAGAAACCTAAAATCTAAAATTTATAAAAAAACAAAAGGGAGCTCACGTCAATAGATATAAACAATTCACCAAAGTTTCATGCAAATTGGTTAAAGCGTTTTTGAGTTATTGTCCGACATGTGGACGACGGACATAGATATTATCAACATAAAAAAGTGCACAGGTAAACAAAAGAAAAACTTGATAAAACTTTTTTTCATGATCTTATTAGCATAAAAATGTAATTATAAGAAATGAATGCTTCTTTATGTAATTTTATTGGGGTGTAAAAGTGTTGATCGTGCACACATTTTTAGAATGAAGCGCTTCTGCGCTACATACAAAATGTGCTTCGGTCAACACTTTTACACCCCAATAAAATTACAAAAAGAAGCATTCATTTCTTAAATGTAATATGTCCATCTCCTTTACCTGGCAAAATTTCAATATTGGTGATGATCACTCACAGTGAATATAAAACTACTTTGAATATTTAAGTATGTACAGTATTACAGTGCTATAATTTCTTTAACTGCAAACAAACCAAATATTCTTTAATTGCTTAACTGCCAGTTTGCCACTGGAATTTAAGAATACTTTGATCAATCAATATTATCTTTAAATTTAAAGTTGATTGATGTTTAATATACAATATGAACTATATAATCTTCAGCTGTACAATGGGTAGGCTCTGAATGTTCTAAATGTTTACACCTCATTTGCTACTTTTCACTCACTTTTAACAAAAATATGGTAAGGCCTCCAATAAACCATAGGCTACCATAAATAACACTCTAATTTTACACATCAGCTGCTATAAATTAAATCTTAGTTTTTACTTATAAGCTGACATAAATTTCATCTTAAAACGCAGCTATCAAGTCCAAATGGACATAAGGTACACATCTGTACTTATGTATTAATGTAAGCACATGATTATTGGTTATGAATTGACAGAAAATCTACACTTATAGATTTTTTCAGAAGTATAAATTGCAAAAAATATACTTGTATTTTGCTATATTTTTTGTAAGCAAGAGAAACGTAAAAAAAAAGTTAAACTAATAATGCAAAAAAACCTTCACAAGAATCAGCAGGATAAATAAACCCCGTTTACAAAGTAAACCACAGAATAAACCCTGTTTATAAAATAAACCACAAGAAAGGTCTAGAAGGAAAACATGCAAGAAAATCGACTGGTGACAAAATTATAATTTACTTCTGTTGGCCCTGTACAGAGATAGGCATTAGTTAGCTACAAATAAATACATTAAAGTGTTAGTATGAACATGACAACAGTTATACTGTAAATTTAGAAATTATTGCGAGCATTTATAATAGGGATTTTTGAAGAGAGGGCAAAAATGCGAGATTAATTATTGCGATTTCGGAAGAATCAGCATACATATATATGTAAAAGATATCATAATACAAGTTCTTTTTATTGTGATACTCAGCCAGTCTCATTATTCGCATTATTAAAAACATCGCAATAATTTCTGAATTTACAGTATTCTTAAAAAGAAGGTTCATATATTGCTGCTATAAAGAAATATCTTTTTACAGGACTGATTAATGCCACATAGTTAGATAATCATAGACTATTACATGGTATTTTCTGTATCAGCCCTGATATTAACCTTGGCTCCAATATCTGACTGAGGGCTTCAGCCAGAGGTCAAATATGGATTGAGGTATGATACAAAGGCCAACATGGAAAAAATGCCTTTAGGGTTCTTTTAATCACATATACAGCCTATGAAATAGGGTATAAAAAAAATAGAGATACAATTGAAGAGCAACAGAGGTCACAATATCAGGCTAAAATCTAAATAAACAGTTGACACAGATAAATGTCAATTTTGTTGGCATATAGTGAATGTTGAAAGTGAAATGTATGGCAAAACTGTATGACTGACAAACACTACACCTCCTTTTTTCATATAAATAATCTCCATGGAAATAGGTTTGCAAATGCAAATACAACTGCATACTAAATATCAATGACATACCATTTAGTGTTTCCCCTTTAACTGACCTCGTCACAAACTTTAATATGTACACTATGCAATAGTTTTGAATGTCAATGAACACTGACTAAGAGGCAGATTTCAATATCTCTGTGGAAATGAGATGTGCTAATGATAAAGCAACTGCATAAAAAATATTATCAACAACACTACTTGTTCCAAAAAAAAAGACCTATGACAAAGATTATCATGTAAACTATGCGAAAGTTCCAAAGTCAATAAACCATGATTGAGGGGTAGAGCCAAATATTCTCCTTGGAAATAAGCTATGTCCATGCTAATAAAATGACATACAAAAATCAAACTTCATCAATTACGGACACTAATGCTGGAAACAGTACACATAAGTATGGCGTACACACTTTGCCATATTAGTAATACAAAAACAAGGATATCACAGGGAAAAATGTGAAAATTATATATATATTGATAGTTTTTCAAACCAGAAGGTGTTTCACAGCTACAATCTCATGGAAGGGTGACAGCCCTGAGATGAGAAGTAGCCAAGAAATATCTTCAAATTTGAAATACTATTTATAATCTGTTTATTGTTGTTTTTTTTGGCAACATCAATGGAGTAGGTTTATGACGTCATACACTCTTTCTACATGACTGAGAAAAACACATATCACTCGAGTAGGGTGGTATAAAATATTATCACAAAAAAAAGATCAAAGCAAACTTTTAGAATTTAGGGATACACAAATTTTTTGGAGGTATAAATGCCAACTTTGGCAACTTATAATATGAAAAAAAATATATAAACCTTCATAGAAAATAATAGTTCTATTATAACATCAACAGTTAAAGCAAACAAAAATAATTAAAAAATCCTTTTTTTAAATATAAATTAAAAAAAACATACATTATGTTAATACTTTCAACAAGGATTTTTACCATGCCATTTTAAGTTCAAATGCTTATCTAAGCAGGGTTATATTATAAGCCTGTTACAACTGATCAATTATGTGTTCCCTTCACTCATTACAACAAATTTGGCAACTAGCATTATTTGGGCCTAATTTGTTGCCCATTTCATGCATCTGAGAAAATTGTTAAAAAATGAAACATTTCAAACTTGCCTCACTATGTTCCTGTGGATAGTATTTGGTAAATAGAATACAAAATATCTTTTTTTCATCAGCAATATGCTGGAGATTTACAGGACTATACATAAATCTAAATGATGTCCTCTATACACATTTTTTTAACCATTAACTTCTAATTAACATGATGATATTCTATATATTAAAAGCTTCAAACTTTTCTTTTGGCTATGAGGCACATATAAATTCAGAAATTTTTTGTGCATTATCTTAAGTAGAACATTTGTACTGCATTACTTTCCACAGATCTCTTGAAAACAGTCCCTTCTTAGCATGGTGTACACACTTTAAATTTAGTTATGATCTGGCAATTAGTAATTTCAGATTATAAACTGATAATAGATTACCATATTTTTTAACAACTGCCTATCAATTATTAAAAAAAATAATTTTTAACATGCACTGCACATTCACAATGAGAAAATATGAAATTAAATATCTATATTCATCAGAAATTTGGACTACACATAGTTATAAAATATTTTTAAATTCATAGTTATAAAATATTTTTAAATTCATAGTTATAAAATATTTTTAAATTCTTTTCTAACACAGTTTTGTTTATATATTTACTTCTAATATAGGTGTTCTATACATAATTTCCTTATAAATATTTTGTATAAATAATTCAGGACTATTCGAGAGAGTCTACAGCAGTAAAATATAGTCAAAGCCGTTAGTAAAGAAACGTTAAAACAAACATTCACCTTCTTTGATTTATCTTGATCTTCATCCTTTAAAAAGAAAATCAAAACAATACAACAATCAAGAAAAACAATTACAGGTCAGCTGTAAAATATATATCCATGCTTATGCTTTTGTTCTGTTGTCAGTGTGCACACTGTGGCTAATGGAAAAACACATTTAGAAAGTGTAAACAATCAAATTATATCTTGCAATACTAGTTATACTTGTATATATATATAACACGAAAATATAGTAAAACAATATGCAATATTTCTCTTAACGTTTAGCTCTTGATAAAAGGGAATTTATATGATAAGGGATCAAAGCTTATGTTTTAGCATGTAGTGTACAACTAGCTTTCTATTTGCAAGTCTGGTTTAAAATCACTTACCTCAGTAGTACTGACATGTAAAATAAACATCTTCCCTTCAAAAATAATTCTCTTTATCTGTGGCCTGTAATATTTGAAAAAGAGTAATGATAAACCATGTTGTTACATGTATGTGTGACAATCAAACCTTCATGATCATTTCAGATTATGCCCATACAAGGACAAATTGCAGAGAGATACACATTTAGTTGTTTCTTAATAATTCTTAGAGAGATGAACTAGTTTCATTCAATTGAAAATCATATTTGTACAAAACTTAATGCTTTTATTTGATGTCTTCAAATTTTGTGAGTTCATACATTCATACTGTCAAATATTGTAGTTTTTCACCATTTCAAATACAATAATTAAGTTACCATATCAACGGTTTCAAACAAATTCAGCAACAAAGACTTTGAAATTAAATAATTGAATTACAATAACAATTACTGTAAATAAACATGCAATTAAAGTACAATTTCAGCTTTTTCTTTTAATAATTAATCAATTTACAATTACTTTATCAAATTTATTATTTAAGTTACAAATTACATTTTATCATGAAATAATGACTCCAGTTAGCACATTAAAATTTGTGAATCAGATATCAGTGTTTTCAAGTAGATCAGCCTTCTTTTTCCTTAGCACTGCATTTATTAATCATCATTGATTTTTAAACGTTGAATCATTCAGACAACATCTGTAAATTTATCTTCAAGAAATGCTAAATACATTCTTTTAACTGAGGCTTATGTGGCCTGAATAGCAAAATACAGAGTAGCATGATTTTTTTAAACAAGAATGTGTCCATAGTACACGGATGCCCCACTCGCACTATCCTTTTCTATGTTCAGTGGACCCTGAAAATGGGTTCAAAATTCTAATTTGATTTAAAATTAGAAAGATCATATCATAGGGAACATGTGTACTAAGTTTCAAGTTGATTGGACTTCAACTTCATCAAAAACTACCTTGACCAAAATCTATAACCTGATAGACCAAAAACTTTAACCTGAAGCAGGACAGACGAACAGGCGGACGAACCAATGATCGGACGCACAGACCGAAAAACATAATGCCCATAAATGGGACATAAAAAATGTCACTAAAATGTTTCTCATACCATTTATATAACTGTGTACGTCTACTGCCATGGAATGTCATGATACCTTGGTGTGTGACACCAAGATAGAGTGATGTCCCCTTCTGATCCTGAAAAATGTACATAATCTGAATACAAGGGTATTTTTAAACATGTAACAAAATTTATAAACTTCATCTTTCTGGATTTTACACCATCAGTGGAAAATCAAATATTATTTAAGCAATTTAATCTGATATTGAATTTAAATTGTGATTTTTTTTTTTAATTCTTGTTCCCCTAATGTTTGAAAAACAAAATGTAACTGCAATAAAAATTCAGATATCAAAGATACAAATTTTAAATAGTAAACTTTCATTATGAGCCATGACTGTGAAAGTAAGAAAAGAAAAACTTATGGAATGTTTGTGTTTTCAGATGTCATTTCAGATTTGGCCCTAGGCAGTATAGTACCTTGACTTGATGTGGATCTACACCATATGTATCCAGAGTGGAAGCTTTCCTCAGGAAATTAGACTCAGCCTCTGCTGGAACTTGTCCACTGTAAAACAATATACATATTCTTTTGATAAGCTGAAAACTGGACATTTATAACATCTATAAACTTTTAAAAACATGCTCATTATCAGATTTTCAAATTGACAATTCTGAAGCGAATTTTATCAAGTCTTGGTATCCAACCACTTGCACAAAAGGTATTGCCTAAAAAGTGATTGTATAGTGTCTGAGACAATAAGAGAGACATTCCAACGTAAGCTAAGTGTCATATGATCTCCAAAAGATTTTGAATCATTAACAATAATACATGTAACAATAGCTTTTAAACTCATACTGTAAAGTGGTTTATTTTCAAGGACATTAAATTACGATTTCAAAGGTCAAACCTGTATGCACGGTTTTATTTTTACCTTTTTCTAGTCATTTAATTAAAATTGTCTTCCTGAAAGATCAAATTTAAGAGAGGAAAAAAATTCCCCACTTAGCAGTATCACATCATGGTCTATTATGCACAAATGTATTTTATACAAATGACTTTGAACCTGCTCAAACCAAAAGTACAAACAGCTTTCACAAATGCATTTGCATGGACTGCACACAACCTGTCTTTGATGTTTCAATTTGATCAAGTACTATCTTAATAATGAATTATACAAGAAGTCCTTATGTTATTCAACTACTTTCTAAGACTTGTGTTTTTCTTGTGCTATTATCTCAAAGTATCTAAGACTTGTGTTTTTCATATGCGATTATCTCAAAGTATGAAAAAGTCTCATCATACTTTACCCAAATGTTTTATGAAGTTAAAAAGTGACCTTGCTATAATCATGATAATATACCCAAGTGCTACACGAAACACCACACAATATTTTACCTAAGTGTTTTATGAAGTTCCATGATCTGTTCTTCTTGTCTAGAGTTCTGTTTAGGTAACATTTTAAACTCTGTAACATATCCTTGTGGATGGTCCTGGGGATCATAATCTCCAACTTCAGCTAATAAAAGAAAACAAAAAGATAGTAATTATATCATATTATTAGTCCTGTCACCATCTGCCATTATTTTAAAAATAAAGACTAAACTGACAGCCTTCAAAGTTTTAACAGTTTTTTTTAAATGCGCTTTGCATTTGGTGTTGATGCAGTATATGATGGTAATATATGATAGTATCTATTAAATTTATTAACATTTTTAGACTCAGTTCAATTTGGAAATTGTTTAAACATGTTTACTGACTGACAGACCAAAAAAACCTAACGCCCCTCTATTATCATAGGCAAGGCAATATATGTGTTTCAGGATCTTACGTTACAGTGTGTGTTTGAAGGGGAGGAGAAGTTTCTACAATTTGTCCCTACCAACACTTCTGACCATCATATGTAAACAAGTCAACGTAAAAACGTTTCCTTCTCATTGCAAAATAGTAGAAGTGGAGACTAATGTTTTTTTTTGTCCACCCCTCTACAAAATTAGGCCCCTAAGTGAACTTGTTTTCAAACTATTTATCTTTCTCAACCTAACAAGTGCAAACTTTATCCTTGAAATAAACTTTTACCCTATCAATACTTAATTTACTTATTAAAATCAATAAACATTGTACTAAATGATCTATACCACTTGATTAATAACACAGATGCTCTCATTATTACATTTACAAATTACTTTCCACAAAAGGTGGCAAAATTTACATCGGTAAGCAATTATTACAATTTTATGGCTATAATAAACATCTACTGTTTCAACATTGTATTGAGCAATATATATAGCCACTAGGAGCAACAAAGGATGCAAACCAATAAAGCAATCATTTGTATTTCTCCTGAGACAGAATATCAATACAAACTTTTTCAAATAAAATACACAATCACAATTGATCCATATATATTTATAGAACTGAAGTCAAGGATATAATTCATACATTAAACATATCACTTAATGCAAAAAACTTGCAATTGACTTAACTTGATAAGAAACCAGGCATTACTTAAAAAAAAACACAAAAAAACACAAATTTAAGTAAAAAGCATTTCAAGTTTCAATCAGTTTCAGACTATTACAGTTATTATTTTAAGGAACAGGTTGCTCCCTTGTCCTTACAAATAATTGAAAATCAACATTTGAGTCCTATTTGGTAGGTTGCTAGACAATGTCATCTTCAGTTGTCATTGGAACAGAACACAATAATTCTGGAAACTTTTCAGCAGACTGTTAATACTATGGACCATCAAAGTTCTGGACCATCAGGTATGATGTTACCAACAAGATATCCATATTCAATTTTTACTTTTACACAATATTTCAAACTTCAAGTGGGACCGCTTGAAGCATCCCTATATTGAGGCTAATCAATTTGAGGACAGTTTAAAAAAGAAAAAGGAAGTTGTCATAACTTTCAGCAGTCTGTTCAATACAGCTAAAATGACCTAATGAAGCAAGGCTAGCGCAGTGTTCACTGACAGAATCTGATAATTATAATACATCAGAAACTCTATTTTGACTTGAACAGCTGTGACAGACATTCTCAGATTACAAAGAACAATAAAATATTGACACTTGCCTAGTCAAGCATCATTCAATCAGTCAAGACAACATGAAACCTTCATTTTATCGGTGGAGACCAAACAGCGGCCTATCAAGGTATATTACAGCAGCATATGGTGGGAAAACTCATGGTCTAATGGGGGGGGGGGGGGGGGGGGGGCTGGAAACACCCCTAGTTATTGTCAACCTGAGAACCTGACAATGGATGCAACATGCAACATGCTACTGTACCATGTTATTCCATTTGTCCAAAACCAACAACATCAAATCATTCTGCAGTGAAACAATGCCAGACAACATGCTGCATGATTTTATAATGACTTTCACAGTAGAATATTGATGTAGCCATTACTGCAATTATGCCTGACCTGTCACGAACTGAAATGTGATTAAATGGCTATTGCTTAGATTGTCGTCAACCATGAGGACCTAATTGCATAAAACAATCAATTTTCTCCATTTATTTACCTGCTAATAGACTTAACTTAACTCGTCTTTTATTTACATATGTACTTTATCCCTGCTATGCAAGGAAAAACATCTTTATTTACACCTGTCTATACGTTACAAGCTTTAATCACGATTTAAACAGGTGAACAAGCATGATCATAACATTTTATACTACAATCAAATAAATTAATTTTAAAAGCATGAATTTGGAAAGGACTTTCATTTAGTAAATAAATGTTTATTTTAGTAATTACTAGCATATTGATTTTAAAATTCAACATAAATATTTATTCAAAATATATGAGAATAAATACCAATGATTTATTCAAGCATTAATTTAGTTTATTATCTTTCAATTACCACCCAATATCAAAACCTTTCCAAAACTTAATGTAAATGTATTATAAGATATTAAATCTTGTGAATACTCATTAAAACATTTGTACATGTTCTTATAAAATTTTCATTGAATGATTCTTCAATTACACTTAGATTGAAAGGATAAAAGAAGTCTAAATATGAAAAGTAAAAACTTTTACAGATTTCACAATGTCCAGATATGCAACATAAAGTCAAGCAAAAAATAGTTTTCCGCATCAGTTTCTATTAGTTCTTCGATTAGACTACCCCTACCCCCCCCCCCCTCCCAAATATATGTGAACAGACTGGAATATAGCTGATTCAGTGTTAAATATGGTGTAACTTCACCAACTGCTACCATCTACTAATATCATTATTGTATCCATAATGTCTATAAAATGTTATTTATTGATTGAATTGATCAAATATGTAAGAAAATAAAATAAAACTTCTGTTACATACTGATCTGTATACAAAATATGATTGGATTGTGTTTTATTTTATATCTTACGTAATAGTAAATACAACAAATATTTACTCTTAAGCTAGGCTTAAAATAAGATCATTAATTGCATATTACCTATATTTTTACATCATATGTACTATTATAGGTATGTAGAACTGTACACAGATCTCTTTAAGACTATAAGAGGTTCAAAGAAAATTACTTTGCATCTGTAAGAAACAAAAGTCCCATCTCTGTACAAAGGTAGGGTACCAGTGCAAAAAGTTGTGATGAAGTTCATCAAACTGAGTATAACTCTGAAGATATTCAATCTGTAGACCATGATACAGACCTTGAAATGACTGTCAGAAACCAATACATTTATGATGTCAAAGGAACAAATTTGGACAGGCACATACACACAACACTGTGACAACAGTCAGTCATGGTGATGACCTTGACCTAACTATGTGATAAGGAAATGAAGGACACAACTACACTGTACAATTAAAGCAGACGATAATAAACTGGTACTAGTCAGAGTTCAAGGCTGTGTATCCATATCTCTCTATTATATTTAGTATCAGTTTGGTTGAGTTTTTTTTTTTGGATTGAGGACCTGAATCCTTAGCTGTAGTTTTACCTAATTTCTGACCATTTTGTCTTAGAACTTATAGAAGTTGTTGACTGTTTACTTCTTTGATTTAATTATCAACATTGTTAGACATTTTCACTTGTCGTAGTGGCTGATAAGCTATCAATAAAACAAGATGTGATATATACGTCAATGAGACAGCAAACCAACACAAAATAACGCAAAAATGTTTACAAACTTCTACAATAGACAGGTGTCTATACAAAATGGCAAGTTAAAACTGTTTGTTTCTATTTTTTTCAAAGGTTTTTGAACTTTCAAATTCTGATACTGCATTATGATTTGATTATATAAATGCATTTATTATTTTCTATTTTTTACGATTGGAAAGAACAAATAGGACACTTACACTGAACAATATATGTTGCCAACAGATTTGCGTCTGCCGGTGAACACAACAGTCGACCATGGTGAAGATCTCTTCTGAGCTGTAGGAACAGATGGTATCTGTAAAATCCAAAGATATATATATATATTTAAACATTTAATCAACTCTGTAATTATATATGTTTATTTTTGGATAGCATTCATGGTTGGGTTCCCTGATTAAAAATTTAGTCAGTGGATATATCTTTTTTTAAATACATAATCAATATAAAACTTCCAGGTTTGTAATACACGTATCAGCTTTGATGAATCAGCAACCAGAGACAAATGAGAAATGTAAAAGCAAACTGTAACCCTTCATTTTTTCAATGTCTGCATCACTTACAACATGTACAAGTAGATAACTATCCTGTTTTTGTTAATTTGGAGAATGTGGTATTGAAGGCAGATATTTGCACCGCTTTTAATTTATATAATGTCGGTACACTTTTAGTTTTTTCATATTGTACATTCTGTTTTATTGACAAATACCTCACATTTACATATATTTATAAAAACATGTTTTACCTTTAGGACATTTTTCAAATTAGCTTAGTACACATAAAAATGAAATACAATTAGCATTTTTATTAAAAAAAGCTTTTCCCTCTTTACATAATCATTCATAATAAATTTAGCCTATAAGTTATCACTTCAGCCTACACATGTCTAGTCAAAGTAAATAAGACCTTAGGTCAAGTACCAACCTTCTATTGTCAAACCTGACAAATTTAAATTACAAAGTATGTTTTAATATAAGAATACAGCCTGTAACATTTTTTACCTATAATAATAAAGTGTATTTAAACTTTGATTAGATAGGTATGAATACTTATGTTTACTTTCAGGACTAACATTCCTGTTCTGAATACTTAAGATAGTATTTGTAAAATTATTCATAAATGTGTCCTTGGCTGTTGACTGGTAGTAGTAAATAGTCAACATTGATAAACATTTGATATTTCACCTTCTAGCATTTTACAACTTGTAATGCTCAAAATTTGACAGCAAAACTGCTACTGTAGATTTTATCTAAAGCATTATCTAGTAATCAAATGTAGGAGCAAGCTATTTTCATACATGCATTTCTACTGGTTTTATTGATAATGAAGTTTTTTTTTTTGCAACTTAAAACTACTACAGTATTGAAAATTACATTATAAAATTTTAGACCAAAATTGGAACAGTATTAGGTTTTTTTCAGTACAAGTAAACTAATTAGATTGCTATTTTCAGTATTTCAATCCACAAGGTCTATCAATGTATTAATTAAGCTGATAAGCTTAACAGATCCTCGATGGTTCTGCCTTTGGTCTAACATCGGGAATTCTCCATTTAAAGAGGCATTTGATATTTTTACTCTGTATTACCTCTATATCAATTTCAACTTCTTTAGAACTACTACTTGATATTTCAAACATGTTAAAAAAACTTAAACTCAAATGAGTTCTGGGCTCCATTATTTATTGTCCAACAGAGTCATTTTACCTTGTGAAACCTCATTATAGATCACATGACCTGTAATATCATGGGTTTGGGACTTTGACAGTCAAACCAAAGGCTTTAAAATCTGTTCTTAATACTTCTCCGCCTAAAATGTGGTTCAAGGAGTAAATTCCGAGTATTAATAATAAAGACAGATCGGCTCAGATTCACAATGTTTCTACTATAAGTAATGTGGCATGTCTTCACATTGGAATATTAGAATGTGAGTTAGCACATTAAAAATTGACTCAGTGGTACAATGTAAGGAATATTCATATGAAACTACCATGCTTTTATCCTGAATGTGACTGAAATATATGCTGCTGGAGGTTAAGCAATCATCCACCCATCATTCAATCAATCAATCGATCACTACTACTACCACCAGGGTGTTTGACAAAATTGACCAGCCATGACAGTTTTGCTTGGTCGGTTCCATCAATCAACACAACAGATCTATTTAAATCTATAATTTGATATTAATTTTTAAATAAATTTAACCTTGGAAACTACAGAAGCAGAAACGAAATATTACAGATGCACAAAAAAAAACATCACTGGGAAGAAGTAATCTAAGGTTTTATAGAATTTCACCATACAAGTTATATAACTTGACACCAACTAAACATCATCAAAGGGAAACCAAAAACAAAATACAAAGAGATGTTAGTTTGGAAGAAATCTGTCCGCTAATTCAAGTGTATATGCAGTCTGAAGATATCTATTTAGGAAAGTTCACATTCATCTCCTCAGCCATGCAAAATCCTATCTACCTCCATATATATCAAGCTGGGGTATACAAAGAGTAAAATCCTATCTACCTCCATATATATCAAGCTGGGGTATGCAAAGAGTAAAATCCTATCTACCTCCATATATATCAAGCTGGGGTATACAAAGAGTGAAATCCTATCTACCTCCATATATATCCAGCTGGGGTATACAAAGAGCAAAATCCTATCTACCTCCATATATATCAAGCTGGGGTATACAAAGAGTAAAATCCTATCTACCTCCATATATATCAAGCTGGGGTATACAAAGAGTAAAATCCTATCTACCTCCATATATATCAAGCTGGGGTATACAAAGAGTAAAATCCTATCTAACTCCATATATATCAAGCTGGGGTATACAAAGAGTAAAATCCTATCTAACTCCATATATATCAAGCTGGGGTATACAAAGAGTGAAATCCTATCTACCTCCATATATATCAAGCTGGGGTATACAAAGAGTGAAATCCTATCTACCTCCATATATATCAAGCTGGGGTATACAAAGAGTGAAATCCTATCTACCTCCATATATATCAAGCTGAGGTATACAAAGAGTGAAATCCTATATACCTCCATATATATCAAGCTGGGGTATACAAAGAGTGAAATCCTATCTACCTCCATATATATCAAGCTGGGGTATACAAAGAGTGAAATCCTATCTACCTCCATATATATCAAGCTGGGGTATACAAAGAGTGAAATCCTATCTACCTCCATATATATCAAGCTGGGGTATACAAAGAGTGAAATCCTATCTACCTCCATATATATAGAGCTGGGGTATGCAAAGAGTGAAATCCTATCTACCTCCATATATATCAAGCTGAGGTATACAAAGAGTAAGGTTGATTTCAGACAAATAACTGAGTTATAAAAGGAAGGGTGATTACAACTCATAGCATTATTGTTTGATAACAGTGTCAGATGTTATACATTAAAGGAATAAAATACTTGATGAGTTGGCTCACATCAATTAATAATTAAAGGTTCTTACTTTGAAGTTAACACTTTTGACATTTTCCATGAAAACAAAAACTACAATTGATCAAATAAATCAATTTCCTTCCATGTCATGCTATTTTGTTTTGTTGATAATGCTTTAATATAAAATGTAAAGAAATATTGCAGGTGCTTTGAAACTTTCTTACTCTTTCCCAATAATATTTTTGGAAAGTATTTGATGCACATGTAAGATAAGCTCTAAAAATCATATTGCCCAGTATTACCAAATTCTAGTCCTGGGAGTATTGCCCAGCATGGGAAAACTCGGGAATATGTAATACATTGCCAAAACAGGCACTTGTCTCAGAAAAAAAATTCCTATATACCTTAATATAAAATATAACATTATATTAAGGTATATAGGAATTTTTTACTGAGACAAGTGCCTGTGATTGCCAACCCTGCATGTAACTGTATCAAATGGAAGAGTGTCACATACTTCTTCCCTTTATATAAAGGTATTTTACAAGAAAGCCAACATATCAATTTCAGACTGGTGCAAAAATAGAATTCCATGTAGGACCAACTTGGTTTCATGTTAGACCAATTAGAGCACTGAAAACAGATGCCATGTTGCCAAAATATCACAAACTTTACCAATGCAGATAAAACTTGATATGAATACAAAATGTATTACTAAATACAAAAAAATTATCTGAGCAAAAATTTAGGTATTAATAGCTTTATATCATACAAATATGTGATTTGACTATTTCTATTTAGTGAATAATTTTTTTTTTTTTTTTTTAGGAGAGGGGGAGGAATTACTCAAAGTGAGTCTATGGCTCACTACTTTGTTTCCCCCCTGCGTTGTTTTATCTTCTGATACATCATATTTTTTTACATATCCTTACAGTTTCTTTGTTACACTCTCTCTATATACCTTGTGATTTCCTCATGAAGTTTCATGGGATCTGCAGGGTAGAACTTCACACGAAAACATAGCACTGTTGGATTTACACCTGAAAAATATATATCAAATCAAATCAAATCAAATAAAAGTAGTATTACATTTATACCTGTCATTTTTTCACTTAATAAAAGACACATATATACAAAATTTTTCATATATATATAGAAAATATTCTTATAATACTCGAGGGATTCAGTATATATTAATCAGAGTTACAAAGCCATTCTCCTAAACATGTAAAGTACAATTGTTATAAAATCTTCAAGTAAGAAAACCACTTTTTGATGGCTGTTTTTCATCTCAAAGTCATTCAAGTTCCTCATTAATAAGTACACTGCTTATGCTGAAGAACATTTTAAAGCGTTTCTTAGATGTTGGGTTATGTTGTAAGGATAGTGTAACACAGAAACAAATACCATGCTATAATTGTCTGAAGAGCATGCTAAGAATTTCATGCCTATAAAATAGAATTTTATCAACTGAATACAGTTTTGCTTTTCTTTTTAATGTTTTATTCAGAAAATTTTGAATAATCTTGACAGGATCTAATGAGACTCATCATGAGAGGTGTGTGCAGCTCATGAAAATTATTAACTGAGCTACAGTTAAACATGTACCTATGAAATCCAAATAGGTTCTTAACATGTACTTTAAAGCTTTTTAGGCTTAAGTCTAGACTTCACTTAACACTGAATAAACCTCAGTCCTATTCTTACCAATCAGTGCAGGTAAAATATCTATGTGTAAAGGGGGGTTTCTTATCACATATTTCTTATTGATGATACAATTATTATCTTTAATTCACACATATAAACTAACATTAGATAACATGGACATACCCCAGGGTTAACAATTATTTGTCTTAGATAACTAATGCAAACATTTCTTATTCTAACAAAACACATCCTCACAAATGTAACAACTTACAAAAGTCAAGTATGGAATCTTTCATTCTTCTGTTTTCCCCATAGACAGTAACTTACAAACTTAATCTGAACAAGAATTTGGGTGTAAAAGTATAGTCAACATTATCAAGTGACACATCATCTATAACAGAGCTCTAATGTAGCTTCTTGGTAGTTAGGAAGAACTTTTTTCTTCAATTCAAATGAATTCTAAGCAGGATTCAATTTCAAAGTAAATTGAAATCTTTTTGGAACTTTTGCTTTTCTTTTTTATATAATTAATGGTTTATCTTTGTTCAATTTTCATAAACAAATTTATTTAGTTTACACTATGTCCTATAAAATTTCCTCTAACTTCCTCTAATCAAACATTTTATACATTAGTAACACAGCAGGCTAGTTCCTAGTAATATTCAGAAGCTTTGATTTTCTGGTAGTTGAACTTTCAATGCAAATTAGTCATTAAAACTCTCACGAAATATACCTGTTGATTTCTAAATAAATTACTGGAAAATAATACCAATGAAATGATATAAAGACCATCTGACTCAATTACAAAGGCTAAGTATCCATTTACTGTTGTAAAAATTGATTTGTCAATATAGACAAGCTATCTGTTGTACTTTTCTGATCCCATTAATTTAAAAGACAAATTATAATATACCATTCAACATCACAAACATTTATTTCTTCAGTGCATACTGGGAAAATAAGCAGTTTTGATACATGCTGGTTTAAGTATAGAAAACTGTGTGTGTGTCTGATTTCGATTGACTTGAAGAAAATTAGAAGACTGAATGTCATCTGATGAATCCTTAAAGATCAATTAACAGATGCATCCAAGTCTTTACATGCTTAATATAATAGGAATCATAGAAAAAAAAACACTGGGCGTAGTCTGTTTGTAAAGATTTTTCACCTTGGTAGCCATAGCAACCATAATACAATCATGTAAAATAACCACAGAAAACATATAGTGGATATGCTATGTTTTAAGGAAATTTATCAATAAAATGTGCTGACTGATAATAAAATCTATATTAAAAAAATCTATCATCAAATCTGTAAGTTCAATACACATGTACAATTATGTGTTATGGCAAATTGTACATTCTTACTTACATACCACATCAAATGAATGAATAATTCATAATTTTCATGATGGAATTATGAATTTTTTACAATTATTTATGGGATAACACAAACATAAAACTGTTAAAAATCCTTGACATTTCCCTTACAGTATAAATATGGAAGATTTATTCTAATTTAAATCATTAGAGTTCAGTTGATGGCTGCTTAATGTCTTATATACAAAAGGTATTCAGATTCTGACCGATTTTTCAGTTACTAGTAATTTCATAAAAAAGTAAGACAACAGAGTTCAGATGTAAGCAAATTCAAAAGCTCATAAAAAAGTTGAGATGTAACCTCTACTTGTTGGGTTAGCTTCAATGATTTAAGTCTAAAGGAGTAGCATCAACACTGACAAATTTGTTGTAGAAAAAACAGATAATTTTGTACTAGACCTTGAAGTAGTAGCCATTTCTTCCTAAAATGGAAAGCAATTCTGTGTACCGGTATACTTTACTCCAATTAAATGTCACTCTCTTACTCTTCCCAAGTAAACAATCCTCTAGTCTGATGATGTATTTTTTAATCAAACTCTTTGGTTTTGATGGTAGACCTTCTTTGCAATCATTCATACTTTGTCTAGACAAAAGGTGATCTAGATCTTCACAAATTGAAATATTAAGGACACTTTTATATCATTAAACAATGGTACATGACCTTCAGAGGTCTTTTTGACTTTAATGTGTTGCTGGGTTGCTAATGTTTATTCCACAACTATTTTCATTCATACTTGATTAGATGTTGATGTCCAAAGATAAAATGAAATCCATTCAGTACTTATAGGAGGGGGCAATGGACTTAAAATATTAGTGCCAATTTTTAAGCAAATAAAACAGGCTACTGAAACTGTACACACATCAGTAATCAGTTGTAGTTTATTTAAAGATAATCCATGCACTGACAAACAAACAAATCTACTTACACACATTCCCTAAAATAACAAGTGGGCACATTGAAATGTCTTGCCTACATAACTGCATAATCAATGTCAAACTACATGAATTAAACTCACAAGGGGGCATCACAATATACTGACATATATTAGTTATATATATATATATATATACTGACATGTACACCAGGTGACCTTACAATGATGTGAACACCACAAACAGTTGACATATTTCTTACAGTAAATGAAAAATTCGTAATTAGGGTTCCACGGAACCCAGTGTCTCGCCTACTTTTTCTGTTAATCACAGGCTCAACAAAAATGAGGAAGTAAATCAATAAAAATATTCCTCTTGATACTATCTTTTGATTGTAAGAAGCTTCTGTCCAAGTTTGGTAAAAATCCAGGATAGTTTATGAATCTAATAAATGTTTAAAAACTTTAGCTGCAGACTGAATGTAATGTTAACTGGAAGAAAACAAAATTTCCTTCTAGATACTAGCATTTGATCATAAACAAGCTTCTGTCCAAGTTTGGTACAAATCCAAAATAGTATGAGAAAGTTATTAAAATTTTAAAAACTTTAACCACAGAGTGAATGTGTTGTTTCCTGGCAGAAAATCTAAGTCCATTTAAAAGTAAAATAAGGAAAAAATGGTTTTTTTTTTTACAAAATTTACTTCTGGATACTATCTTATGATCATAAACAAGCTTCTGTCCAAGTTTGGTAGAAACCCAGGATAGTTTAAGAAAGTTATTAAAATTTTAAAAACTTTAACCACAGAGTGAATGTAATATTTCCCGGCAGAAAAACTAAGTCGATTTATAAGTAAAATACGGAATAATGGAATTTTATTTTTACAAAATTTACTTCTGGATACTATCTTATGATCATAAACAAGCTTCTGTCCAAGTTTGGTAGAAATCCAGGATAGTTTAAGAAAGTTATTAAAATTTCAAAAACTTTAATCACAGAGTGAATATTTGTGGACGCCGCCGACGACAACGACGACGCCGACGGAATGTAGGATCGCTATGTCTCGCTTTTTCGACTAAAGTCGAAGGCTCGACAAAAACTGACACAAGCACAAAACCATGATCAAAGAACCATGCAAATAAGGTCAAGGTCATATGAACCCCTGTCAGACATCAATATCCACCTTCATAGTGATATGAGTATAGTTTACCTAATACTTATTGTAACTGGGAATCAGACCTTTTCACCGAAAAATCACAGTTGATTTTAATACGTTATTGAACTTCAAAAATGATTTGAAGGACAATTGGCTTGTATTGTATGGAAACTTCAAAGTTTGTACTACATTGTACCATGTGATTTATTAAGCATATCTCCAATAGCTTACATTTCCCACTGCAATACCGATTTGTATACATGTCTTGCCTTTGTCAATATTGATGACAGGTAAGACAAAAAGAGTTAATACCAAGCGCAGAATCAGAACCAAAAAATTATGTTGATTTATTATTTTCTTTACTAATGGTATCTGAATCATGCTGAATAGGACACAATTTATGCCTGAAATGCACAACAGTGCCCAAAATGAACATTCATGGTTATGTACTCTGACTGAGAGGCAGGACCATACCATCACAACGCATTCCTGGTTTGTGTAGCAACCAATACTTCAGAAAGGAACATGAATAAATGTCATGTGTTTAGAAAGTGCCATGATACTAGCAGGTAAAAAGACCCTTTAAGCATCATTCTGTTAAGATAAGGCTCATTGGTAGCCAATGCTGACACTAAGTTTCTTGTCTTACCCAACTCTTGCGTACATTTCTTGTTCCCGTCATAATTAAATAATTCACCCATTGTGCCCCACAACCTTTACATTTCATGTTTATCTTAGACTCCGTTTACACTTGTACCAAATTGAACCGATCTTTATTTGAATCGATCTTAAAAAGACCAGTTCGCGTTTACATTTGCACGAGCAAGATCAATCAAGATCGATCTTATAAATCTATTGCGTTTACACTGCAACATAAAAAAAAACGGTATGACCTAATCACCCTACATTTCGTAAATAAACAATCGTAAAAATAGAATAGTATGATAACGTGTGCATCTTGTGCAGAAAATCACACATTGCAAAATCATAGAGAAAATAGTTGGTTCATTGGAAATTGAATATGCAGTTATTAATTATCTTTTTGGTTCGCATGTCATTAAACAAAGAAATGTGAGAAGACTATCACTTAAAAATGAAAGGTCAATGCATTTGAAGATGAGGATTTGCAGCAAAGAAATAGAATTTATTGATTCAGAAGAATGATTAAAAAACGACGGAATCTACATTTACTGTCATTATCCCTTCCATCGTTTTTAAACACATGTGTTTTTGCCGCCGAACATGCACAGATTTATTTTCATATCTAAATATAACATGCACTTGAAGAAAGATAGATCGCGATCGATCTAAGCTTTTACACTTGAAAAAAGATTGATTCAAATAAGATTGATCTTTTTAAAACCACTTCTCGAGGTAGACTTTTTAAGTCCGATTGAAGATCGATCTTTCCCGTTTACATTAGACCAAAGATCGGTCTTTTTAAGATCGATTTCAGGAAAGATCGATCTTTTTTACAAGTGTGAACAGGGTCTTATATCATCCATTTCATGTTCATTGCTTCCATATAGACCTGTTTGTGCTGCTGGGGAGTAACATACTTACAATCAATCAACCTAAATCCTGAACCTTGAAGTAAGTCAACAACATTATTATGACTTTGCATACAATAAATGTTTAAATTTCTTGATTTAAATCACTATAGCATAAAAATTCTAATATTATCTATAGGTCATTATACCAAATTATTTGACCTTACAGACATATCAAGCATAGATAGTAGGGATGTCAATGAGTATCGCTCGGTAGTATCAAGTATTGAATACCAAAAGTTACTCGACTAATCGGTTTCCTGTTGGAATATTGCTGTCTTCTTTATATAAAATTGATCTTCTTGAGAACCTCTTTTGGAAAATTAAATAGGCATCACTGATTAATCATACTAGTAAATCAAAATATACTTTGTTTGAAATGCTTGTGCTAAATTGTAATTTAAAATGCCTCCGAAAATATGTGGGCTATACCTAGACGGAACAATTTAAACTAAACACGGCTTAGCCATTTCATCACATCGGTACCTTCAGAGCAAATATTTTCGTCTGCAAGACTTTACAAAGTTGCAAAACTGACTGTCCCCAATAATAGTTGACAAGAAAATGTATCCAAATAAAATAAATTCCTTGCATCCTCTGGTGACCCTCAGTGAATAGTTAAACTTCTAATCCTTACGCCTTTGTAAACATTAAATGTGTTTTTTTAACGTTTACCAAATACTATTGTTTGATATGGTTTTTCCTTGTTATAATTTTTAAATAGGTGTTCATTAAATTATATTGATTAGATTAATGTTCTTTACTTAATTAGTACTTGTAAGCAATGAGCTATTAATTTTGATGTGTATTCCTTGTCCCAGATACTTAATCTGTAGATGTTTTTTCGTTCGTTGAACAACAAACCACAGAATAAAGTACGTATTTTTGTATTTCCGTGTTGTAGATATATTCCTGAGTGAGTACTCAAGTATCGCTCCATAAAACCAACGAGTACTCGATTAGTAATTGTTCACCAAGTTGACATCCCTAATATATAGCAACAGAGAAACTAACCTCATATTGAAAATTTAACCTGACCTTTTGAGAATGAAGAAGAGGTCAAGGCAAAGTGACAATGAATGAATGGCAGAGTCTCCTATAATTTAAATGAGTTCCATACAAGTTTTTGTTATCCTAGATGAAACAAGGAACAAGATATTAAGGACTATTTCCAAATTGTGAATACCCTATCCAGCATCATTAATGTCTTTAGAAAGTAATAACTAGGACTTTCATTACAGGTGAGACAATGGCACAATTTTATTTAAACACTTAGTAATGAAAGATGAATATATAAAGGTTTTTAAAGATAAAGAGTTTGGATTAAAAGAATTAAGAATAAATGCTTCAAACATATTTGACATATTTGTTTTAATCTAAATGTGTGCCTAATTTAAAGTTGAGATAAGGTTAATTTGAATAAACATTAGTTAATGAGAAGAATCCATGCAATAGTAAAGTAAAGATAACTGTAAAATGTCAAAGTAGTCTAGCTTTTAAATATATTCAAATTCATATGCAGATACACTATATTGTGAAATTGCACAAAAATCACATAAACTTTGATGGAACAATGGTTTTTTTTATTTTATCATTCTGCATCACTATTGATAATATGCTCAATGATCATTGCAACAATATTGTGATTAAGGTTTGATTTTTTAATAAGGATTAATCTTTTAGAGTTTAGAAATCGTTAAGAGAAGAAACTGACATTTCTGTTGGGAAAGTTGATCATGAAATCCAATATTTACTGAAAAATCATAAATTATTATGATGTTTTAATTATGCTAAAAATGCAACAGTATCAGGTTTACATTTATAAAAACTTGCATTCATAATTTCAGTGGTGATTTACTTTCACAAATTTTTTTCACAAATTAGCATTAATTAAATCTTGCATTTTTACCAGTAACTAGTGATTCGCAATAATAAATATGAATTTACAGTATTTCTACAAAAGAGCATAATGTCTAGTGATTGGTCATGACTGTCTCTGCCTTAGGTTGATGGTACCCATATATGGGTGTTTATGATTTCGGAAATATGATATATTTAGATCTATCTCAACAAAAGTGAACAAAAACATTTATATGGCCATGAATAAATATACTAGCATGGTTGTAGAAAATTTTCATGTTGGTTTTAACAAATCAAACTGTAATAGCAGTGCCTTAGCCCTATGTGGGTACTTATGGAAATGTTCAACAATATCGATATATCTTTGTCCTTTTTTGAAAGGTGTACAAGTATAGTTTCATTTTTGACAATTCAGTCAACAAGTTAAGTTACTCAGTAAAAAAAGACATGATTTATTAAGACATATGAGTTAGCAAAGAGTGAGAGAAATTGCATCTTTTTCATGTTTTTTGTATTATTTACCAGTATAATAACATGGTCATGTTAATAAAAGAGAGGTATATACATTTATTAAAAAATAGAAAACTAAGAAGTGTCTTCAGAAATTCAAAGACAGATTTATTAATGCCTTACCCCAAGATTCAGTACTTTGTCTAAGAAGATCTGAAATGTATTACACATTGACACCAGCATTTTTGACTTGTACTTCCAGTGCAACCACTTGAATTCTAATTTCAAATTGATGTATCAATTAATTTGACACAACTATTTAAGATATTGGACTTAACATTTTAATTACAGGTACCAAAAATTTATAACAAATCCTCCATCAGAACTTCTTAACATATAAATACATGTCTAAATTTGATATAAATCTTGTATACATTGATTGTTAGAATATATTGTAGGTAACATATAAGCAAAGAAACCATCAAGAGCAAACCAGAGATGAAAATTACCTGTTTTACCAGTCAATTGGGTTCTGCGGAATTGCATATTCTTTTTAGTTAATTCACGTGATATAGAAACAAACATTTTTTTTTAAATCTATAAGCCAGCTGGGTCACTGGCTTAAAATAAAGATGGTCAGACTAAATTTAGAGCAATCGGCTTTTTTACTGACATCTTTGCAAATAGTGAAATCATTTTGTACTAAGACTGTCTAATAAAACTAAAGCAAATTTTGAAATATAATGAATATGTATATACAATGTACCTATTATATATACAATGTACCTATTATAAATAGGATTTTCCAATTGCTCAAAACTGATGAGTGAAAGCAAACCAATTTGTGATGAAATTCTAAAATTTGTGAAATTTTGAATATAAGATGTGCATTTTGAACCTCACTTTTTCCCAAAATATTATTTATTTTTTTACAATTTTATAGAATAATATGAATGTTAGAAATGGAATGCTACATTAAGAATCCAGCAGCCAAATTTTGAGAAATTAAAGTAGAATAAATGTACAAACCATTCCACTATTGGATTACATGTAAGTGCTTTAAGCTTGATGCTTTTTCTGATAAAACATGGTGTGAAAAATTTATGTTCCCAATACCAAAGAGAAATGCATAAAAATTAAAGCTAGCAAAAATCCCTACAAACCAGCAAAGTATCAGAGTAATGAGATACCCACCTTTCAGCTGTTTGTAAACTGCCTTCAAAGGATCTAACCAATGCTGAAAAGAAAGAAAATAAGACCAAATTAATTTCAAAACGTATAAAAAATGAGGTAACATGACTTTAAAACAACATCTCTCCCATTATTTCTTCATTTATCTCACAGAATCAATAAGTTTAGCCATCAAAATAGCAACACTGATACTACCATCATATTTTATGTATTTTATGTAAAAGTTTCGTGAGATGAGGCAGTGAATAAAATGCAACATCGCAATAGGTCTAATAAGTAAATGTCAAGGGGCCTTTATATATTGTACAGAGAACTATTTTTCATTGATCGTTAATGTTCTGCTAGCATGGCTGATACTTCTGTGGGTTTTTTTTATTTTTTGTCGTTCATAGTATGTTTATGGACATGAAACAAACCTGTACACTATCATTTCAAAATACATAAATAAAAGGAGGGGGAGGGGGTTGTTCATCAATGAGACAGCTACCCCCAAGAAAAACCTAATACACATCTACAGGTCAATGTATAGTAGTCATTAATTTTAGAATCCCTGACATTATTTTAAATATGTTTCAAACACACTATTACAGCAAATTAACTTATTAACATCAAGTATGCATTGGAGACATAACAAATTAATATGAGAATCAGGATGGAGGGTCTTCATTTTTGTATCCTTTAATTTTTAAGGCTATTTTCAATATTCTTTATTTATTTTGCCCATTTTACTCTTCTGACTTCTCTATATTTAAAAACCCCATTTTTTCTATTTTTTGTTTTTAACCCATTTTTCTCTATTCTTAAGTTAAATTTTTGGCTTATTATTCTCCGTTCCTGTCAATCCCATACAAACTTTCACATATGGCATTAAGATTATTGCTTAAGGTCTACAAAAATGCAATTTAATTATAATCCTCTAACTCACTAAATAGTTTTAAGCTTATAATTAAATTGCATTTTAAATCAATATATATAATATAGATAATGTCAATCAAAACATAAATTTCTATTAAGTTCAATGTATATCAGATTTTAATACTACATCATTGTAAGTAGGAGCAAATACTGAATTGCTATTAAAATAAATGGGGAATGTGTCCATGGGACACAGATGATGCCCCCGCTTGCATATCATATAAAGTTATAAAGGGACATAACTGAAGAACGGTAACAGTGATACTACCCAAATTAGTACTTGACCTGAGTTTTGTGGTAATAAGTATTGTGTATAAGTTTCATAACATTTGCTTGAGGCAAACTAAAGTTAGACAACAGAAACGAAAAATTCAGCAGTTTTTCCATTTGTAAAGGGGCATAACTCTAGAACTGTTAAAGTGACACCACCAAAATTCAAATTTGATCTGTGTTTTGTGGTAATAAGCATTGTGTATAAGTTTCATAACATTTGGTTGAGGCAAACTAAAGTAAGAGAACAGAAACCAACTTTGGGACGTACAGACTACGGACGTACAGACATACGGACAGATGGACAAGGGTAAAACTTAATGCCCCCTCCGCTAAGGCGGGGGCATTAAAAACAAAATCAAATTCTGGGGCATCATCTAGCACAGTGTGTAATAATGGTAAAAACTTTTGAAAAAGTAACAATTTTGCAAAATCTGAGAAAACAGTTACACTATATAAAGTAAGATTGTTTTTTTTAATATTCTCTTTAACAATTGCAATGAATGGACACTTGACTGTCACCTTGACTATAAAAACATTGTATCTTGTCAAGTTGTCTTGCCTTGATGTTGAGAAGATAACACTTGCTAACATTGTTATAGTATATTAATGGCCTAGCTACATACAAATAACCAAAAGCCTACCAACAGATGGTAAGATTCCAAAGTACTTTTTCTGTACTTGAACCAGACAGACAAGAATCCAATAAGTTGTAAATTATATTGATTTTGTCTGCATGATTATATGTTTGCTAATACTATTTACTGTCTAATTCCAGGAACAGGATGCATGTATACCTTATATAAGTTAATGTTCACTGGACTGGAATTTCCTTGATGTTAGGAAAATAAATGAAATTAAAATCACCATCAAACAAGAATGCACAGATTGTCATGCTTAGCATACCCCCTCTCGTAATTCATAGTATTGGAAAACAGGAAGAAGGTGTCTGACAGATCTGAAAAGCTCTCACATGTTACAAGATGCTGACTAAATATAAAGTTATAATGTTCAGTAATACTTAAGAAAAGTGTGACTAAAAATTTAAAGTACATTCAACATATTGATAAAGTCAAAGTATCCGCAAACAGGAAGTAGGTGTCTGACAGAAATGAGAGGCTTTCAAACGTTACAACTAAGCATTATCAAGCTGCTGACCAAATATGAAGACTTTCTATTCAGTAGCACATGTAACCGAGAAAAGTGTGACAGAACTTTTTGTTGGATGAATAGATAAACAAACGGACAGACAAGGTTATGAAATTTAGCCCAGCCCCACTCTTAGAGTTTGGTAAATTAATATATATATATATATATTACAGAGATGTAATCATTAAATGCATGTTGTAAATGATGTAGAGAAGTACTAAAATAATTGTTCTTCATCACAATTTTACAGAACTATTTCAATGAAATAGAGTCTATGAAAAAAGTAACTGTGATCAGAAAGTAATAAGATGGCCTTTTTCGATGTACCCTTAGCTTGCTGCTGCTACCACGGAGAGGTATATATGGCAACACAGAGCTGTACTGCTTTCATGTCATCACTTCCAACAAGATGTTAACATGTTATAAGGCAAACACCTAATAGATGGGTGGCTTTGTAGTCAGCCCTTAATTAGATTTGGGTCAATTGCAAGCATTAAACTGTTTATGGTCCACAACATAAACCTCCAAGGAGATGCATACATGTATGTCACTATTAATTGCTTTTCATTGGTCAACAGATCGTTATGTGGTTGCAAAAATTCTTCCAGATCATACCTTTTATTTTCCCACATATTTGTAAAATTATATGGAAGCTAAAAAAGGTTTTATTCAGTGACTCAAAATGAGACTTTCAGCATCAATATCTACAAAATGTACATACAATAGCATCCTTTTTTAAAGTAAAATTTTCAAGATCTAAGTGAATTTTTAATGGACAAATGACATTAAGTTGTTGGAAAACTGCCTAAGATCTAGTCTCAGGTACAGCTGGTTATTGAAGTATGACCGATGACAAATTTCAATCTTTTTGAAGGATGTTTTAAGTTTTATTTTACAACCAAGTACAATAAGCCTCCCCTAGGAGTTGGACAAACTGTCAAATAACCTGATGAATAATGTCTATTGAAAAATACCTTGGTATACCATACACCATGCATGACATCTATATTTTAAATTCATTGATGTTTTCAAGTTTTGACTTCAGGATGGAGCGTGGGTGTTGACAAGAACACTTGAAACATGTGAATAAGAAAATGAATAACATTTATACATATTACATATGAAGGGTTTTTACAACACACATAAAAGAAATTAAGTTATGCTTTTCTGAAAAGATGGCCTTGTCTGTTTCTTATTTCCAAAATTTTAAGTGCAAACTATGAAAAACCCTAGAATATGTACATGCAGAGCTTACACAGCAAGAGGCCTAGTAAGGACATTGTGTTACTAAATAACCAGATGAAAGCTTCATATATATACTACATGTACATGTACATGCATCAGTGGCACATAACAAGATTATTCATACATGTATATGAAAATAACAATTCTAAAGGCAAAAGTGAAAATCACAAGCATGACAACACATTGTAGGGTCTAAGGGGACTTACAATCATGTCAATTTTATGCAAACACATGTAACTATAAACATATGCATAAGTAATCACCACATTTTAAATGTGTTCCACATGAAAAACAAGGTGTAAATCGATATATGTGTATGACGAATCATAATACTATACATAATTTTGCATTCAGATACATTAATTTGCATAAGTTTGTCATATTTTTAACTTTTTGTCAGGACTGTCCATATGGTTGCTAAAATTTGATAAAAGAAACAATTCAATCTAACACTTTCCGACATCTTTATAAAAACTAAACTTGGAGATTTAGAAAACAAACTGACAGAGCTGCTTATAGTAGACCTGTACCTATATGGAAAATATTCAAAGATTCTAGTTAGATTCATAACTCCCTTTTGTGGGCAACAGAACATCAATAAAATAAAATGCTCCGCTGGGGCACAGCTTGATACGACCGCAGAGGTCGAACCCCGAACAGTTGGGGCAAGTATGGACACAACATTCAAGCTTGATACAGCACTGAATTTGGATTGTAATTAAATATTTGACACAGCATAGGTTTCTCACACAGAATGAAAGTGGTCTAAGAACTTAAAAAAATTTAATTTACCTATTCAAACCATATCATTATTATTTGCTTTTATATATAAATCAGAAATAACAAATTTAAAATGGAAAATTTTAAAGAAAAAATAGGAAAAAAAATCCCCCCCCAAATTTTTTGAACCCCCTTATGATTCATCACCCCCAAACTCAATCCAAGCTTTCCCTTTGTGGTATGGTACCTTGCAGTACAATTTCAGACAGATCCATACACTTGAACACAAGTTATTGTCTGGAAACTAGATAAATGCTTGTTTTTTGGCCCCTTTTTGGCCCCAAATTCCTAAACATTTAGGGCAATAAACCCCAAACTCAAACCCAGCTTTCCCTTTGTGATATGGAACCTTGCAGTACAAATTCATAAAGATCCATACACTTATACACAAGTTATTGTCCTGAAACTAGAAAAATGCTTGTTTTTTTGCCCTTTTATGGCCCCTAATTACTAAAATTTTGAGGGAATTACCCCCAAAATCAATCCCAGCTTTCCCTTTGTGGTATGGTACCTTGCAGTACAATTTCAGAGAGATCCATACACTTACACACAAGTTATTGTCCTGAAACTAGAAAAATGCTTGTTTTTTTGCCCTTTTATGGCCCCTAATTACTAAAATTTTGAGGGAATTACCCCCAAAATCAATCCCAGCCTTCCTTTTGTGGTATGGTACCTTGCAGTACAATTTCAGAGCGATCCATACACTTGAACACAAGTTATTGTCTGGAAACTAGAAAAAATGCTTATTTTTGGCCCCTTTTTGGCCCCTTTTTCCTAAACTTTTTGGGCAATTACCCCCAAACTCAATTCCAGCTTTCCCTTTGTAATATGGAACCTTGTAGTACAATTTCATAAAGATCCATACACTTGAACACAAGTTATTGTCATGAAACTAGAAAAATGCTTGTTTTTTTGCCCCTTTTTGGCCCCTAATTCCTAAAATTTGGAGGCAATTACCCCTAAAATCAATCCCAGCATTCCCTTTGTGATATGGAACCTTGTGATACAATGTCAGAGAGATCCATACACTTACACACAAGTTATTGTCATGAAACTAGAAAAATGCTTGTTTTTTGCCCCTTTTTGGCCCCTAATTCCTAAAATGTGGAGGTAATTACCCCCCAAAATCAATCCCAGCATTCCCTTTGTGATACAGAACCTTGTAGTGCAATGTCAGAGAGATCCATACACTTACACACAAGTTATGTCTGGAAGTTACAAAAATGCTTATTTTTGGCCCCTAATTCCTTAACTGTTGGTACCATAATCCCCAAAATCAATCCCCACCTTCCTTTTGTGGTATTGAACCTTATGGTAAAATTTCATTGAGATCCATTCACTTAAACTAAAGTTAGAGTGCGAAAACTAATGTGTCTTCGGACGATGACGACGACAACGTCATACCAATATACGACCACAAAAATTTGTTTGCGGTCGTATAAAAACTGAAATTATTATAATAAAAAATAAAGATTGTTCATGTTAATTTGCAGAACTTTTTAACATTCTTGTTTCTGATTGCTATGTAAAGACCCAATGGATGATAAAAAAACAGACATTCACTTTCAGGTTTCATTATTGTTTGTTAAAATATGCAGATTAACTTCAATGTTTCCCATCAATCCTCATATTAAAAATATTTCTTTCCAATAGAACATGTCGCAGAAGTTTCTAATAACTTTTCTTCTATACTCATGGTCAGCAAACGACAATTGTTGGAAATATGTGCCTCAGATTGATGCAGAGAAAACAAATAAGGACAACAGTAAGCAGAGGATATACATGTAGCTGACAGAAAAATAACAGAAAGTCTTTTGATGAAAGTAACAAAACTCTACATTGTACATTGTCATATAATCTAAACAACAAACATACTGCAAAATCTAATTAAAAAGGTGCTGCTAGGCTTTCTGATAAAATCAACAAAATACTACAAGGTCCTTTGAAGAAAACAATCAAATCTTAGAGCCTGTGGTATGCAGCTTACAATCAAGCTACTAAACCAATGGTAAAGATGATTACTCACACAATTATGACTAGGTTGACTGTTTAAAATGGAACATCAGCTGTGAAACAGATGACCACAGATTCATGTAACTTCAACTTATAGAATGATGTCAAAATCATATCCTACATTTCTTCTTTATAACTTAAATCACCAAATATGACCTACCAGGTATTGTTGGACTTTTACATGTCAACAGCAACATTATAAAACAAGAATGTGTCCATAGTACATGGATGCCCCACTCGCCCTATCATTTTCTATGTTCAGTGGACCGTGAAATTGGGGTCAAAACTCTAATTTGGCATTAAAATTAGAAAGATCATATCATAGGGAACATGTGTACTAAGTTTCCAGTTGATTGGACTTCAAATTCATCACAAAACTACCTTGACGAAAAACTTTAACCTGAAGCAGGACAGACGGACAAAGGGACAGACGGACGAACGAACACACAGACCGAAATCTATCCGAGGTGGGGCATAAAAAAAAAGATCTGGTATGATTGCCAATGAGACAACTCTTCGCCAGAGACCAAATGACATTTGGATAACAAAATAATATAGAAGGTGCCTTTAAATGCATACAATTCTGTGAAAATTTCATTGAAATCTAGTCTCTGGTTATAATTCTAAGGAGTTACAATGTACAGATGTCAACTGTGGACAGACAAACGAACAAACATTATATGCTCCCAAAAAATACTACAAAGCCTGATGATATAAGCAATAAAAATACTGCATGAAACATACCATTGACCTTCATTATTTAACGCCTTTCTTAAAATTTGTTATAATAATCAATGTTCAACCCACATTTGTAAATTATCTGTGACACATTACCATATTTTCTTTCATAAATATATATAACTAAGAGAGGATGAAACATCAAAGAATACAATCTATAATTAATGAGATGAAATTAACACATAAATTACAGGTAGAATGTAAGGTATAATTGAAAGGTAAACATCAAGGCAAAAGTGTATTTCAGGTGAGAAAATGGCAAGCTGAGTCATCTAGATTCAAACAAGATGTTTCCAACAATAACTGATCGATGCTGTATTAAATCTGTTATAGAATTTTACTATTTTACGACAAAGAAATTATAACTTGTCCATATAGGTATTGAACAGCAGAATACCTACATATCAATGGGGACATTCTGTTCTGACAACTGTTATTTGTTTCCTATATAACGCTACATATACTTGGAACTAAAAAATCAACATAATAAAAAAATGCTTCCATATTGCTGTGTGTATGTTTATTCTACATTGGCTAGAGGTATAGGGGAAGGGTTGAGATCTCACAAAACAGGTTTAACCCAGCCGCATTTTTGCGCCTGTCCCAAGTCAGGAGCCTCTGGCCTTTGTTAGTCTTGTATTTCTTTAATTTTAGTTCATTTATTTGTTTTGGAGTTTAGTGTGACGTCCATTTTCATTGAATTAGTGCACATTTTTGTTAATGGGGCCAGCTGAAGCCCGCCTCCGGGTGCAGGATTTTCTGGCTGTGTTGAAGACCCATTGGTGGCCTTCGGCTGTTTTTGCTCTTTGGTTGGGTTGTTGTCTCTTTAACACATTCCCTATTTCCATTCTCAATTTCATTCCAAAACTGTTTTATGTTCCACAGGACACACATAATATTACATGTATATATATACTACTGTTTGTTGGGCAGGGACGATCAAATATTTATCATCAGCACACCTTCACTCAGAGTTCCCAAAATCTGTTTTTTCCAGCTGGTGGTCCTTGATTAAAATCTGCTGATCCTAACTATCATTTATATGTCAAAATACCAAAATGTGTTCTTCCTTTGAAATATTTGGTGGTCAACACCTTTCGACCAATACTTTTCAAGAACTCTGCTTCACTTCAATTTCTACTACTGTATTATGGATATCTTTTTTTAATTCTCAAGGGTACGAAATAACATGCTTTCAACAATTTTTGAAAAATTGAGATCATATGTTCTTTATTCAGCAGTCCTTTCAATTCATTTCTTTTAAATCCATTAATATAAGGATACATAATGGACTAATAAAGATAATTTATTTTGTGTTCCCTTATTTCAGACATGCATGTACTCCAATCATACTGCTCCAATGCATACTGACAGCTTATATCAATTACTTTTATCATGTTTCAAACATTTAAATACAAATTTATACAAAATTTTACATAGAATATAAAAATCTTGTTAAATTGTAAAAAGTAAACATATATGTCCTGAAGTCATTTCTAGCTTTTTTGTTACTATTTTAAAGGTTACGTTAAGATAACAAATGATTTAATATAATTTATGTTCAAAACATTTTTTGTGTTAATTTTCTTTATTTCCGTCAAGAAAATTTGCTGGAAAGGAAGTTTTCATTTAAATACTTCAGAACAAATAATCCATTTCTCTGCATTATATTTTACACACCTTTTTAGTTTTTTCTTCAACAGGATAATTTCGTAAATACTTGTTAACCTGGATACTATATGTATCCAAAACAAGTTTATGTGTTAGTAGAGACAAATTTAGTTGTTTCCCTTATATACCTAACATTGCATAGTTTAAATCCAAGATTTTCACTGAAGAATAACAGATGTTAATTGGCCTATTTCAATTAATGGGATTCTACTTTCAAATGCTTTCCATTGTTTCCTGGTTGACTTAACTAGAGATATCTGATTTAATAACACAAAAATAATGAATCTTTTTAAAGACAGACTGTAAAGGGTATACCTCAAAGCAGCTTGGACTATTATTTAATTGAGACTCTGTTAACTCTAATGAATTTTAATTTTAAAAATAAATAAATACTACAGTTCAAGGAACCATTCAGAATACATCCGTCAGACCAAACGAGTCAATTTACTCAATTACTATATAGTTTAATATTTTACGCCATATTTTTATAGACATCATTTTATGGTGCATGCTTGTACCTTACACTTTTCAATTGATAAAGAGTAAAGGGTGATACAAAGTAACATAGCTATAGATGATCATGGGTACTCACAAAACTAGTTTCACCCTAACAGATGTTTAAAATGTGACAGTCATAAGTCAGGAAGAGTAATCAAGAGGTTGTTTCTTTAGAATTTTAGATATTTTTCAGCAATTTGATATTGGATTCCTATCTTTGGCCATTTAAGTTGAATTCATTCAAACTTTTCAAGACTCAGACTAATTTAAAGCTTTGCAAACATTTTGTAGTATATTGACACTTACAAGTTATCTAATGTATCATTCAGGTCTGTGTATAGACCTTGGACCTATATACTTTTATTTTCTTAATTACGATGTTGGGTTACTGTCTTCCTGACATTTACCCAGCATATTTCTTTTGTGGTAACCTTTAACCTTAATATCTATACTCACTCTCTGTTTATCAGCATCCACATATCTAAGTCCAAAGTAATCCTTTTCAACAAGATTTAACTTGGCACACACTTGGTCAAACAGAGAATGTCCCAGTGTATCCTTCTGTAAACAAAAAATCAAATAATTACAGATAGGAATATAGATACTTAAATTTTTTTTATATACATGTATGTAATATAGTTATTTTTTCTCCATTTTTCCAATACAATGATAACATTCATAATGTGTTTAACTTGCATGTTACTGGTGATTTGGAGTAACAAGTGACAATACCCTGGTTAACAACACTTTAATCTATTGTTTTAATACCAGTCAACAAGTCACCAGTAAAAGTAACTTTTAACAGAAACAATTGATGATTTGTATGACTACTGTTTACAAATTATTACTTTAAAATTTGTCTTTTCTGAATACATTGGGTATAAATATATATATACATGCATATATTTTTATTTATCTGTGTTTTTCAACCCTGGACACACATTGTATTGTTAAAGTGAATTAAATTGTTGTTTTTTTATTGTCAATGAGACAGCTATCCACTGTCCATAGACCAAATGACATAGAGTACAGTAAGTAACTATAGGTCACTGTACGACATTCAACAATGAGCAAAACTCATACTGTTAAACTTAGCTATAACAAGAACAGAAATAACATAATGTAAAACAATGTACATTGTATCAGTAAATCCACTTCTCTGGGTCTGAATTAGAACTTGCTATACATGTAGGTTGTGTGCTTGTCAATCCTTAGAAACACAATAGACGTTTATTTTGATTGTTATCTGTTATTTGGTTGCATTCTAATTAGTGTTTTTACAATTTTATTTTCATTCCTATTTAAACATAAAACTTATACTGTATATCACTAGTCAATCACACTGTAATTTCAAATGACATACATGTATTCAGAAATTTTTGCAATGTTTGTATCATTGCAAAAATGTTCTCTGTGTGTTAGACCATATCTCTGAGTTGCTTTTTTTCTCTCTCTTTCTTTTTTTAATTACAAGTACATGTAAACACCTCCAAATTATATACATCAGGTTAATTAAATAGCCATTTATTTTCATTACAGTTATGGTATATATAACTGAATCAGAAAGCAATATAAAATGAATTGTTGAATCATTGTATAAAATACAATGTACACCTTACACTTGCTTCTGAATAACATCAGGTAAGCAAGTGAAACAGATATCCAATATTAAATTCATAAAAGGCTTTATGGAATGTTGATAAACTGTACCTTTGACCCCTATTTAAAAATCTAACACCCAACCATTTTATAATTGTTAATATAATACACCAGAGTAAACTAACTCTTACATGTGTACATCTCTAAAAATTGTATTTTGAATCAATATTCTGAAGGGTGATCATTACCATGAACATGTATAATATTGTAAATTGCACATTGCCATTAAACATATCACATGCTATGGAATAATCACAAATCAGAATTTAGCATATCTTCATGAGGGCAGATGCTGAAAATAACACAGATTTGAATGCTACAAAGATGATGGATATGTAGATTTATGCATTATCTATTTATTCAGTGTACCAGAACCAAACATGTAAAATAATCTATGAATTCAGTAGATATACATGAACATGTAGTACTTTCAGCATATGCATGTTTAAGTGACAATAAAGTGGTTAATTTTTGTGAGGGGTTTATTTCACCAAGTTTGCTATTAAGATATAAAGTTGATCTTCAAAGCAAATGGAATTCAGAGAGGGGTATTACGCAAAAATATAACCTCTCCGACTCCGGAATTTTTTTTTTTTAGAAATAGTGAAATTCATTGTTTCATAACTTAACCATTTGACCATGTTTACAGTACAGTATATTTCTCAAAAACTACTTATACAACATCTGTGATGGTTACAAGCACCAAAAAAAATCATATTATACATTTTTTGTCTGTATACATGTATTTTGGATACATCAACTAAAATCTGTTTGTGTAAGAAATGTCGGAAGAAGGCCAACTAGTGACTAAGTTTTTGACATTATGCACCTAGACAATTTCAAGGTTTTACACAGATTCAATTAGATCCAAAGAGCTGTAATATAGCTAAAATACTTAACATTCATTTTCTTATTATGATTACAGAAAAATGACTCACACAAAAATATGTTACTAGTCAACAGCTTGATGGAGAAAAAATTGATAAGTATAACAGAGTGATTCAATATATATACATTGTACATTGTAGTATCTGACTGGGTTATAAAAGGTCATCATCTTAAAATCTTGGCCTCACCCAAAGTGTCTGAGTATCCCTAGCATTTAACCCAACTGTATCCTTAATTACCCATTATGTCTGATTAATAAGTAACAATAGATTTACTTGTAAGTGGACTTATTACAAACACATAACGTATTGACTAGATTTACATACAGATGTACATAAATCACCTATTAGTGAGTAGGAGATTGATCAGTGACAAGTCTATTAGTACTGATTACACCTCAAGTGATGACCAACATGTAATCTTATAGCCATAAAATATCATCATTTCTCCAATATATTATCTGATTTCTTGGTCAACTTTTATGAACTGTTACAATGTTTATGGAACATGAATGTCCATGTAAGTTTTTTAGCTTACATTGTACATTATATTAGACAAATCCAGAATTACATCATAACATGTACATGTACCATCCACAATATGTATTAAGAGTAAAAAAGGCTTTTAGTTATTAACTTACATCCCAGGCCAGCTCCTTTGTTTTACCAGGGGTGATCTGAGCCGGATCACCCCTACCAGATCACCCTAGCTTGCGTTTATTTGTTTTGCATGCTTTCCTTTATTCTGTAACATTTTGGCGGGAATGTCAAATCCACAATAAAACTTAGAAATATTTATACGGAAAAGACTACATGTAACTATCAAAATTTATGTTGAAAAAATCCAGTGTCTATGCTGGGAATCGAACTGAAGACCTTTAGCATACATGTATAGACCCACGAGTCATACCCCTACACCAGGACGACTGGATACAACCTTCCTGTTAATTTAACATATTTAAACATTGTGTCCTGGGCTCATAAAGGGTATACACTATATAGTAATATATAAAGTATATTATAATGATTGTGTGGCGTTCTAAACTAGATTTTATGAAGCGTAAATGGTTTTTTATATATATTTATCTAATCTAGAACAGCTGGGATGTAAAATAGTTACCCCATTCGGACTTGGTGTGTCAGTGTAAGATCACCCTCTGGCCTCCGGCCATCGGGATGATCTTACACTGACACACCGCGTCCTCATGGGATAACTATTACTGAATCCTTATATGTGTACATGTACATTTACAGGACAAACAAAACCTGTACATGCATGTACATGTATAATAATTAAGAGCCCGTTTGATTTGAAGTAAACAGAATTCAACCTACAAAACAATTAAATTCATGGTCAATGTGGATACATGTACATGTAGGGCTTATTCATAGGGTCAACAACAAACAGCAATTACATCTTATAGAAAGCAGAAATGTATACATATCATATTGAAGGCCTCACTGAGAACTTTGAGATGAAGAACAGCAATTTTATTGCTTTTTGTAAATTCTGCTGTGCATGTACTGATTTTGTTTTTGGATGGATATTCTTTCTTTTCTATTATGTATGTTCACATTATGATTCAGTAAAAGTCACACTTGCTGTTGTGGGAATCACATGCTGTGCAACACTAGCTTGCTACTATCTGAGATTCTGAGTACTATTAAAAGTTTTGTGTCTATTTTAACCTATTTGTTGTCATTTAGGTATTTAATTTTGCTCATGTTAAGTACATGTATGTGGCTGTGCGACTAACTACATTGTAGGAACAGTTCAACTATTGAGACTTCACTTTACATTTCATATATAAATATAAAAATGTTTTATATCAAAATGTGAGAGATCAAAAATCATACATAATGCTATGTTTTACAAGCCATTGTGCAAAAGTAAACCAAATAAAACATAAAAATCTAGCATTGTACATGTATCAATACTGTATTGATTAGTGCCAAATAATTGAATAAACCACAATCCTTCCTATATTGTCTAAGGTAGGGTTTCAAAACCAATACTTAATCTGATCTATATATAGATTTAACACATTATTATACCATATATATAGTCAGTAATCAATCACAGACAATTCAATTAATTCTACTAAAAAATCCATCAGCTAGCAATCAATCAGTCTTAACGTAACATAAAGTCCCCAACCTAAGAAGTGACCAAATATATACATGTGTACCATTTAGTAAAACGAAAAATAATTGGGTGCTGGTTTCCTGTAGAAGTGAACACATATTTAACCTGCTTTACATGTACATGCATGTGTTATCTTAAAATGGTCATCCATGCCAGTTAGTATTGTAATTACATGTAACTGAACTGTGCAGATTTTCTATTGTGTTTCAATTTTATGACATATTGCCTAGTACTCTCAGATACATGTACTGTAGGTACATTTTTTGTACATGTTTGTACTTTGCGTTTTTGTGTCATTTAATTTGTTTTTGTGCTTTCTGCCAACCTAATGATTGATATAGCAAGCCATACCGTCACTGTGTAGTAAGATATCAAAGACCACAGAATGACAAAATGTGAATAAATTCAAAAGTGAAAACCATGGTCAATGGCCTGATTATGCCAAAAACAAATACAATGATGGCAGAAAGCAACAAACCACAACCACTGAATAACATGGTCAACCCCTCAACTGCAATAGTGCTGTAACAGCATGACACACATGTATAAACAAACTGCAAAAATCAGTTGGGAAAGGACAAAAAACATTAGGAACCATTCTAAGAGATACATGTACTTGCAGTTACTGAAATCTAGTTCAAAGCTGATTTCAATAAAAAAATAATAAACCATGTTTTCCCCTAGCAAATCAAGGGCTGAGGAGCACCAACCTTAGATAGCCTGTGGTAATCCCTGAAGTACTGATAAAGACAATGCTCATTAATCTTAAAATGTTGAGATAACTTGAGCAGTGAGCCAGGATCCTTAGTTTCATCAAGCAAGAACAGATGTACCTGTCAGTCCTACTGACAAATTTCATCAGGATCGTCACTTTAACATTTTGTGTCGGTCAGATTGAAGAACTGATTTTTACCAACTTAAAAGGATGAAGCTACATTGGATAATTGGTAAAATCACAAGACACTGGTTTAAAAAATAAAAACATAACTAAAAAAAATTTTATGCGTCCAGTGTTTTCTGGATTTAAAATGTACCTTCATCACTCATTCAGGAACGCCCAAAGCAGAGTATTTGAAAGTCAAAGATATATTAGAACCAACATGAAAACCATATACCGCCTCCCCTCCCTAAAAATATCTGCAAATGATTTGTCTTGGTCTGTTGAAAATTCTGTCTTGTCCAATTTGCCTGGTGGTATATATTGAGTTAGTAGTGTATGGAATAAAGCTATTAAAATTTGAGTCTTTTCTAGTCTGAGAAAATGATACAACCATTGAACTTGTTGTCTCTAGAAATCGAAATTTTTAAACCAGTTAAAGTAATTAACAATGGTGTAGTCTATTATGTTTGCTGAGGACTCATGATCACAGCCTCAAATTTTCAGATTGAATCCCCAAAAAAGAAAAAAGAAAATCTAGTTACATGTGTAAATGTAAAATATAACCCGCCAGAGAAAACCTTTCAATTAGAATGGATGAACAATTAAATTTCATGAAGTACCACCAAAAGTTCGCACCCTGTCAGTCCTTGGTCTGACAGAAAAAATGAAGTTTAACGAACCCTGCTACATATGCAAAGATATTGTAATACTAATAAGGAAATATTCAAATCATATATCAATTAAAACAGGATGTTCTTATAGAAAATATTCATAATGGAAGCATATCACTTAAAACAGGATATTCTTAAGTGTCGAGGAGATACAAATTGCTTTTTGCTGAGTTTTATTTGTAACTTATTTTGCATGCATGAATAGTTGTGTTGAACAAACCTTGAAAAATAATTGAATCGGTTCTGAATCATCCAGGAATCTGATGGTGCACTGATATTCCACTTGTGGGTCACCTTTTTTACTGTTCTTCCGAAACATCTCAAAAATGCAAATAAAAATCCAATCGAAAAACCTTAAATGTTTATATTTGCACTTTTGATATCCACATCAATGCAAAATGGAGAAAAAACCGGCTTGGTCACATGACTTGAGTTCAAGGTTATAAACCGGAAGTTGTCATCTGCTACGAGTACTTGTTCAACTCGTCTCTCTATCAAATTTTGGCATGATTCTTATTTTAATGGGAGTATGTGGTTCTGGAAAGTTAGTTAACCTTTTTTATTTACTAAGCTGCATGTATAGACGGTCTCCATGTTATCCCACTAAACATGTCATGGGAGGCAACTGTTTTTAGTAAGAGAGACCATAAAAAAAACTGATTAGAGTTAAGTCCCCTTACAAGTGCTTCTCGTCCAGTTGCAAATATTTCATGCGTTACAAAAACAGTAGTTGGTAAGAGTTCCATATGGCACCCAATCATACTGAATGAGAACAACTAAATACAGTTTATTCCATAGGGATGCCATTTATGGAACTTTCACAAAAGTATAATGCCTTATTTTTTCCTCAAATAATTTTTGGATATAATTATAATAAAGTTAAATTAGAGACTCTGGTGGTTAGTACAAATAATTATGATGTCTGGAAAGGCTATTTTAGTTTATTGCTGTGTGAGTCTACCTACGTCGTGGAAAGGCGTCACTGCAAATTTAAAATAGCCTCTCAAGAGTCATAATTATGACTAGTCTCTGGTTAAATCCAGTCACCACAATTGGATAGTAAAACCTTTAAAAAGGCAAGAAAATCAAGAAAATGTAGGATAACTACATATACTATGGATTCATTTTAATTCGTGGGATACCAATTTTCATGGATTTCATGGGTACAGGTGAACCATGAATTTAAATGTTCAAAGAGTTACATATTTTCTATAGGCTTGTATGCAGACTTTTGCAAAACCACGAAATCAAATATCCACGAAAATTCAAGTTTTTCTAAATCCAAGAAAACAAATGAATCCACAGTACTAAATATTAAGTTCATTGTATTCTGCTGAGGCCAGCCAGTTTATTATCAACTTCAGTCTACACCAAAATCTTTTCCAACTACTAGTCTGAATAACAATATTCCAACATTTTTCTTATGTGTCTCAACACAGTTTTGCAAATACTTACTAGACGGAATGAAATTTAATTACTATAGGGCATAGGACTAGTGGTGCAGGGTGCAACTTCAAGTTATTAAATTTTACTTAGCATCTCAAGTTTAAAACTAATAATATTGAATATTAAAAAAATGGATCAATGTAGCACTGATTTTTACAAGTAAAATAAACTCTATTTGCATTCTTTTATTTATATCCATTATATTTTCTTTTTAATTGACATCTGATGAATCATCTTTGAGACATAAATAACAGAATAATTTTATGTAACGAATAAAGATACAAGTAAACAATATCTCCTTGACACTGAATCAAATAAAGCTATTGTGGAATGCTACTAGAACACAGGCACTTGTCTCTGAAAAAAATACCTTTATACTTGCATATTCAAGTATATGGGTAATCAGAGATCAGTGCCTATGTATTAGAAGACAAAAAAAGTGTCAAGTCCCTTAATGTATTAATCCTAGATGGGATTAAAATTTCCTGTGCCAAAAAAAAATATTTTAGATTGTAGGGGAAATATTGTAAAGGGAATAAACAGCTAAAAGCTCCAGGTTAGTAACTTTTCTGAATATACTTGATTAACATTTTATAGGATTCAGATCTAGAGCAGATGGAGATTTCAGATGGATCTGGAAAAGTCATTCAACAATTCTTTCTAGTTTTGAACTAAACAAAGCATTTTTGAATATTTTTGCTGAAATCCAAATTGATATTCTTTGTACTCTAAGGGAGCTACCATTTGATTTTTAAGGGGGGGCTAGGATGAAATTTGAAAAAAAAGGCAGGACAGGAGTTTTGAGTAAAAATAAAAAGCAGGATGACAATTTACATGTATGTAAAAAAAGTCAGGATAAACTAATGAAAAAAAAAGGCAGGACAAAGATTACAACTAAATAAAAATGCAGGACAAAATTTTTCATCCTAGCCCCCCATAAAAATCAAATGGTAGCTCCCTAAATTTGTTATCCTTAGGACAAAAATAAAATAGGATTTTTTTTATGTTGCCTACCTACCCATCTAAAAAGCAGACTACCCGAAAAATTTTAAGACACAAATCATTTTTTCAATTTTTGTGTACTCTAACGTAGTTTTCTTGTCTAAAACATGTAATTGTTGTTGGCAAAAAAATATTAAATACCTACCTACCTACCAAACCCTACAAGGCATGGGTATGCAACATCAAACAAAGAATTTGTTAAGGGTGGCCTTGGTTTTGGATATTATATCACAATATGTTGATAATATTGGAACAACCATGTGTTATATGTGCACCAGTCTGAAATTAGATCTGATGTTTTAATCAAAGAAAATATATATAGTTTCCCATGATCTGAAAACTTTTCTCTGTAACTTGTAAGCTCTTAAAATAGCAAAAGGCTTTTAGCACTTGCAGATAATGCATTTAAAACACATGTAGCTAAAGTTTATTTACTTCTTTGTAATATGTCCAACTCCTACACCCCTGTATGCATAGACTGTTGAGCAACTGAAAGCCTCTAGATAACAGATATCACAGTTTTTGATTTGTTTTCTTCTGAGCAAATTAATATATATCCAAAATGTTTGAATTTTCCTGTCAGTCTAAAGTTTTGAACAGATTACAACAGACCCACCTCTTTCGTCTGTTTCTTGGAAAATTCATTTTGAAATTCACTTTCCAAGCCAGGAATATGTGAGTCACTTTTCAATTGTTCCATCATTGAAATGTTCAAACAGTAAGATTTGATTGAACTATTTATAATTGGGGCCTTTGCCCATAAAATTTTAAAAATGTGTTCCATTTTGCATGAATTTGGAAGGAAAATTACAACTGGTGAAACTTGATATATTAGGGAATAAGGCATGATTTTTAAATGATTTTTTTTTTTGGACTATGGCCTGAATTTGACCCCAAACCACAGATTAATGCCATAATTTTTTTTTAAAAAACATTCTCACAGCCTCTGACATAGGCTTGACTATTGACAGCCATATGTGACTAAATTTTGTTTGTAAATGAAAATCTTTACTTATGGTCACACCAAATAAAAAGTTTCACTGATGAGACATCCATTAAGATAAGACAATAATATTTTTGTCAAATAGAAAAATGAGACTTTTTTCTGTTTCAGTTCAAAAACACAAAATACTTTTAAGTTAAGCACAGTGCAGAATTTTCAACATTTGCAGATATTTATTAACGGCTTATTTCATTTACCAGATTTCATGATTTATTTGTAGGACTGTAGTTGGAGAGGCATTAGCAAAAGAGGTGAGTAAAAGGAATACATTAGACCAGTGTATAAAACTTGTATCTGGTATGTCTGGTTATGCAATTTTTTTTATGCTTCTTAAAGTTGAAATAAACAAAATATGCCACTCTCAATGTAGCAGTAATCTTAATTATCTACAAAGATTCTAAAAATGAAACAAGAATTAAAGGGGCATAAGCTGTCAAATTCATGTTCACCTATTTGACTCAAATTCTCACATTTGATTTATAACATACTAAAACATATACCCAAATAATAAAAAGTCTAAATAAACAATTCACGATGCACAGACTCGATAATATGTATTAGCATTTCATGTGTTTTAGTGTAGACGCCATTTAATTAACCATCGAGGTGACCTCCGAAGACTGCCGACGGTCATACATGTATAACCCGATATAAACATAAACATAGATATAAATAAATAGCTTACTCGTGCAATTGGATTTTTCTAAGTCTGTTTGATTTCATATTATAGGTTTAAAAAATATGTTAATAAACGTTTTTATCTGTATAAGAATGAGTTTTTGTAGATCGAATCAGTCAATCTAATGGTTTACCCTTGTTTCACTTCCTATGTTGACATTCTTTTCTTTTTAATAGCTGAACACACCTAGTCCATGCGTAGCCCATCTCTAGCTAAGGGGTTCAATTGAAGTTCATATGAATACGGATTTAATGAGGTCGAATTATTCACTTGCAAGTGAATAATTCATTAGCGATGTTTCTTTGCTTATTTTGACAAAACCGTACCAAATTACTGCTAAAAGCAAATTATTACATCACTATTTCATTTTCATTAATGATTGAACAAAAGAAAATCATTTTATTTTTTTCTATATCTCGTAGCTAATGCCCCTTTTAAGATCCTTAGTTGGGTAGAAACTAAAATTCAAGTCCTATATACATATTTTTTAAATGTTACTGAAGGAGATTTTATATATATCTGATTACTTCATTAGATAGTTGTCTCAAGCAGTTAAATGTTTCACAAATATAGAACAAATTTACCTTCAAGTGCAGGGATACGTATAAAAACATCTTGATCAAATTTAAATTATTTTCAGAAATATTATAGGCTTTGATTGATATTCTTATTTTTTTCAATTTAAAAATTTGATTTTAAAAATATGGTTTAAAATATTAAACAACAAGTAGTATAATGAAAGCATTTATATTTATTGCCACATGGTTTTGTTTGAATACCTAAGATCAAATAGAACAAAATGATTTGGCTTTCTTTTTCAGCTGAATATTGTTTTTCGTGATGCAGATGAATTTCACTCTGTAGAAAATAAAAACAAGATGGCACAGAGTATCCCCTTAACAGATGGGGTAGGTACCAGTCTTTTAAATGTGTGTGTTTGAAATACGTCCCATCAGTACATGTATAATAAACCTTTTTATACACAAGAAATTTTGCATTTTATCTGAAAAACACATAATATTTTTGAGTCTAAAACTGACAAAAATTTACTAGTAGGTGGTTTTCCCTATTCATGCATTTTATCCCTGAAAAAACCCAGTATAAAAAAAAAATCCCATTCTGAATGAGAAGAAATAGACAATTTGCAAATTTGATATATTTCTCAAATATGTTATGTAAAAGTTACCATTTTTTCCTTCTGTATAATAATTTATGATCATTCTATAAAGGATTTGAAATTCTAAAATACCACACATGCTATTATTGCAAAGATGTCCAGAACTACAAAACTTTTTACAGTTTAACCCCTACATGTATCATAGGTTTGAATCTATAATACAGTAAATAATATAATTAAAAAAAACACACAACCCAAATAATTCGAATATATGTGAAAAGCTTGTGTTTTATTTTTATACCCCCGCTTTAAAAAAGTGGGGGTATACTGTTTTACGTCTGTCCATCCATCCGTCAGTCCGTCCTTCCGTCCCATGAATATTTTTCGTCGCATTTTTCTCAGGAACTACATTACAAAGATTTCTGAAATTTAGTTTCAGGGTTTATATGAGTCAGCTATACCGTGTAATGCGTTTTCAGATTCATCACTCAACAACTTCCTGTTTACCGTCAAATATTTGGGCTGGGGGTATCATCAGTGAGCAGTAGCTTGCAGTTTCACTTCTTAAATTTGGATTGAAATTTGAGGTTCTTAGTAAAAAAAATGATAGTATTAATGCACATAGAAATGAATTGTGACAGGATTGCTTTCCTTGCAAAGTAGATACTAGGGAAGTACTTCTTTAGCAGTCAGTTAGAGCACTGACTTGAAACACAGAGATCCCTGACCCAGCTTTGAGTCCAGTTAGAGATGATGCTCTCCAGTTACAGAATTAAAGAAGGTGCTTGATGACTGAAGCCAAATCAGGTTTTTTACAGTTAATTTTTGATAAAGTTTCCAATAATGATAGTTCATTATCAGTCTTTTTTCTGTTTTCAAAGTAATTATGCATTATATTTTGTTGAAATATATTTTGATTCCTCTTTTAGGACAGGCTGCCATGGTTACAAGCTATAAACAAGTATATTTTACAGTAGGTATAAGAAAAACCCAGTTTAACACATTATTTCAGATAAATGTTAAGGCTATCTGTCTAAAATAACCACCACCCATCAAATTTTAATAAAAGTGCCTTCGAAGCCCCCCCCCCCCCCCCCCCCCCCCCATTCAATTAATTCTGGAAAAGTTCAACAACTTCTAATAGCCTATTATTTTTCCAATGAATTTTATATTTTTGACTTGAGAATTCACTTTATGCCTGTATTAAAGCTTTAATTAAACTAAATGAAAAACTAGGAGTAGAAAAAAGGTTGAAACATGGTATACTGTGTGAATATTTTTTTTCAGGAGGATAGAAACAGGATCCTCAGGCATTTTAACTTGTTCTGCACTGAAGAAGCAATATCGACAGATTCTCTTATATAATTGCACAGATTACTGTAAAAATGACTGTAGCGCAGTTAAAATCGTCTATTTAAAGGGTAGTGAGGAATGTATCCAACAAAGATTGAGAAAAGAACTGGTCATTTCATGCCACCAGCTTTACTGAAGTCTCAGTTTTCCACATTGGAAGAACCAACATCTGATGAAACGTTATGTGTTACTGTTGAAATTGATGGAAAATCTGTATCAGAGATAGTAAAAAACATTTTAGGGGTATTATAATAATGAGCAGACTTTGGATTCATTATCATTTTAGTGAATTTTACCATGAATTTAATTGCTCAACACAATACAATTTCTTTTATATGATTGTATACAGATTATGTTTAACCTATGAAATCCAGTTTCCTCAATCAACAAAAATTGGTGCCAACCAAAATAAATAAAAGAATCAACAGTTATAGTGCACCAACTTTCTTAAATATTCATCTTAATATATTGCCATTTAAATTCTATCAGGATATCTGACATTCATATCTGAAAAATCACAAAAGCACAAAAATCTGACAACATATCTATGTTAAATTTCCAGTCAGAGAGATATTGCACAAAAATCTGACAAAATATCTATGTAAAATTTCCTGTCAGAGAGATATTGCATTTGTCATTTTCTAGATTGATTATTCAGGTATTAATACCTTGGTGCCCATGTACTTTTATTTTTTTGTGTGCATTTTATGCAAAAAAATAGAATTGAGATAAATTGTTAATAGCAAAAATGTTCAGCAAAATGAGAACTACAAATAAATCAACATAACTGAAATATCAATTGACCCCTTATATGAGTTATTGCCCTTGAAATTTGGTTTTAACCCATTTTATGCTTTTTTGCAGAAACCATAATAGAGAGAAATTTTAAATATCTAAGATGTTCAGCACAATGAGATCTACAAATAAGTCAACAAGGCCTAAATGGTCACTGACCCCATATAGAAGTTATTGCCCCTGAATAAATGTTTTTGCACACTTTATGAATATCTTACAGAAACTATACAAATAGATAAAGACAAACAGAAAATAGCAAAAAAATTTCTGCACACAAATTTAGAAATAAGTTAAAATGGCCAAAATTGTCAATCGACCCTTGTAGGAGCTATTTCCCCTGAATGATGATTTAAGTTATTTGATGATATTTGTAAAAAGAAAACATATAGTAGAAATAGAGAAAATAGCAAAATTGCCAGACTCCTTATAGAAATTAATGCCCTTAAATGACGATTTTTTACTATTTTTTTTTTAATTTTGCCAAATTTAAAGGTCTAGAAAACTTAATAGAGATTTATAAACTGTAAACAGTAAAAATTAGAATCAATAAACGTATTTACACTTTTGGTATTTAGCTATATTTTGCCTCCGAATGACCTTAGATCTACTCCGAATCACCTTTTGACGTCAGGCAACAATCACTTTTTAATTGTGACGTCAAATGTTTTGAATTGTGATGTCAAAGTTTACGGGAACCTGTGTGATTTTACGTAATGGCGGACAAATTTGCATACAAATGTAAATACGTCTATACAAGATCTACAAAAATATCCCAAAACATAATTGATTGCAACAAAGCCTGAAAGGTAAAAATAAAATATCAAAATGTCATAAATTTACAAGGTGAGCAATTTCGGGCTCTTGGTAGCCTCTTGTTAAATTTATTAATTGTTTTATTTCAATACATTATGCATGAAGTGTATATGTATTTTTGTGCAATATCAGATGTCATAACATGTATTTTAAATGCAACTTTCACTTACAGAAGTAAATGTTCAGGGTATAATCATGGTCATGGTTAATTGTTTTCAGAAATTTTTAAAGAGATGTGCATTTATTTTAATTTGTTATTTTGGAATCAGATAATCCAGATTTTACTATACATTTGTTGATAATCTACTGTTAATTGATAATTATATATGAGGTTTAGATAAATATTTACAAATTTGTTTGTAGTTTCTTTATTGAAGAACAAAAATTCTGTAGTTATCTCTCTTTCTATTTAGTTTTTCAAAAACTCATTCATATCCAATACTGTATGCTTTAAAAATGTTCCAATGTAAGTGCTCAAATGATCTCAGATGGTTGGTTATTTTGACTAGTAAACTTATCCAATTCAGGATTTATCCATGTAATGCATTAATCAATAATTTTAATATTTGTCTCACCTGCTACGAAAGTTGCAGAATATGAGACATAGGGATTACAATCAGTCAGTGGCTTAAAGAGTAGAAAACCTAGATGCTTCATACCTGTATACAATTGCCTTATGTTACAAAGATTCCATCTGCTATAAGTCCATTGTCCTTGACCTTATTTTTATGGTTTAGCGACCATGGTTTTTTTTTTCATGTGAATTTCTCACTTATGAGTAATAGAATAAATATACATGTATTTGGTATATGGGTTCCTTGCAAGGTCTACATGTCCGTCAGACAGGGTTCACCTGACCTCAACCCTATTTCATGGATCAATGATTAAGGTTAAAGTTAGGTGATTGGTAGGTGATTAGGTCAGTGTCTTAGATACTGAAAGCAGTGGGTCAACTATATGTGGAGTATGGAATGATTGTGAGGTGTAAATGTCTGTCTGACAGGTATCATTTGTCCTTGACCTCATTTTCATGGTTCATTGCTCAATGTTAAGTTTCAGCAGTTTTGTCCTTTTCTAAGATACTATAACTTACTTGACTCACTTACTTTTGATTTTGCTATTTGATAAAGGACTTTCCGTTTTAAATTTTCCTAGGAGTTCGGTATTTTTGTTATTTCATTCCTTGTGGAATAAGGGCTGCCACAGTCACTTTCCACCTTACTCTATTTTGGACTGTTCTTTTTGCTTCGATCCAGGTATATCCAATTTCCTCCAGCTTCTTCAGCCTTGATCTTCTCCAGCTGTGAAATGGTCTTCCCCATCTCCGATCTCCTTGAGGGTTCCATCCAAAAGCCTGTCTAGTGATGGTATCAACAGGTTTCCTCAAGGTTGCCATGTTCTTCTCTTTAGCTGTTTAATTGCTGGTTTCTGGTTGGTACATTCCCATAAGCTTTTATTACTGATTATTTTTTACCACCAAAATTTACGAATTTGTTGCAGGCATTTGTTGATGAAAACCTTGATTTTTTATGTCGACTCCAGCTGTAGCTGTAAGTCTCAAGGTTTCAGCTCCGTAAAACAGGACTGGTTTACATTGGTCTTGAAGATGCGAATTCTGGTGCTTTCTGTGATTGCCGTTGATTTGGTGATTTCCAAACAGGCTTCAGCATAGCAAATGCTTGTCGAGCTTTACTTATTCTTGATTTGATGTCTGCATCTGTCCCACCAGTTTTACCCACGATGCTTCCTAAATAAGAAAGGAGGAGATTGAAAATAAACTGTCGCCTTGGACTGATGAAATAAAACTCAATCTGACATTTGCTAATTTACCGGATCATAAGATTAATGAATTATGTTCAATATTGTCAACATTAGCTTCAAAATGCAGCCGTTCTAAACGATCAAAATGTAGTAAAAAAATTGAAGAAAAAGCCCTGGACTCCAGAACTGGAAAATTTAACTAAGATAAAAAGAGAAAATTTTGCAAAATGAAAAGCCGCTGGTAGACAAACCGATGAAAATAACATATTTTATTTTAAACAGAAGCTTAGATCAATGCAAAGACAACTTGAGGCAAGATAAGAATTAATAAGTATCAGAAAATCATGGAGTAGTACATGAATTAAGGAAATGATGCCGGTTTTTATTCTTTATTAAGGAAACAACGTGATCCAGCAAATACTACAACTTTTGCGCTTACTTTTAAGATATTTCTTTAAATAACCATAACTTGATCAGTGATGCATGGGCGGAATATTTTCAAGACTTGGCGACCCCTATGGACTCTTGAAACTTTGACAAAGACCGCTTTAATTTGATGAAAAATGATATAAACCACTTAACGAAAACATTTACTGAAAATGAAATAGAAAATATTTCACCTGTAACAGAAGACGTCCTGTTCTAAAAAATGGGAAACCAAAACTTGACCCGAACTCATATCGGAAAATTACTATTAATAGAACAGTAGGAAAAGTAGTCGAGAAAACTCATTTATCCCGAAATAAAACTTCTGTAACTAAGGATCAGAATAAACTACAAAAAGGATTTACTTCTGGAGAAATGCCTATTATTGCAGCTTTAATTTTAACTGAACTTATAATCGAAGCAATTAAGACAAAATCACCACTGTATGTGGCTTTAATGGATGTAAGGAAAGCTTTGGCATTGTTTGGCATATCGGTTTAATGAGAGAAATGCATAAGTTTGGTCGAAACGGGGACAACAGGTTATTATACGACCGCAAAAAAATTTTGGGGTCGTATATTGCTATCATGTCGTCGTTGTCGTCTACGTCGTCGTCGTCCTGAAGGCATTTAGTTTCCGGACAATAACTTAAGTTTAAGTGTATGGATCTCTATGAAATTTTACCAAAAGGTTCAATACCACTAAAGAAAGGTTAGGATTGTTTTTGGGGGTGATGGTCCTAATCGTTTAGGAATTAGGGGCCAAAAAAGGGGCCCAAAACCAACATTTTTTCTAGTTTCAGGACAATAACTTGTGTATAAGTATATTAATTGCTCTGAAATTGTACAACAAGGTTCAATACCACAAGTCGAAGGTTGGGATTCATTTTGAGGGTAATTGTCCAAACCGTTCAGGATTTAGGGGCCAAAAACGGTCTTAAACAAGCATTTTCCTAGTTTTCAGACAATAACTTGTGTTTAAGTGTATTGATGTCTCTTAAAATGTACCACATTTTACAAAAAGATAATTTTCTTCAAATGTTTTTTTTTTTGGAAAGGGGGGGTGGGGGGGGGGGGGGGGGTAAAAACAATTTTTTGTTTAGGGGGGGTGGACAATTTTTTATTCTCAAGATTTAAGAAATTAACAAGAACATTTCTTCAAATATTTATTTTTGCAAAAAGGAGGAGGGGTAAAAAAAATTATTAGGGGGGTGTCAATTTTTTTTCTTCGAGATTTAAGAAATTGTCAATTTTCCAAAGAAAAATTGGGGGTCACAATTGCTAATTCTTTGTATATAGTCTGAAAACAGATTACTAAGTATTGCGCAACAGCACAGTGTATTGCACAAAAGCACGAAATCTTCAATTGAATATAAATTCAAATCATGTAACCAATTTTAAGTTCTTTGACATTTATTCTGTGTCAGAAACCTATAATGTGTCAAATATTTAATTACAATCCAAATTCAGACCTGTATCAAGCTTGAATATCAGTGTGTCCATTTTTGCCCCAACTGTTCAGGGTTGGACCTCTGCGGTCGTATCCAGCTGCGCTTGGCGAAGCAGTTTATCTTTAATAAAGAGGTATGAAAATCTCAAATCAAAAAATAAATGGAAATGTTGCTTTCTATTACAACAGAGGAACGACAAGGTGTACAGCAAGGCGGTCACCAACAGCATATTTAAATTCACTTTTACAAACTTTTGAAAGTAAGAAATTAGGAGCGTGTATAGGACCCATTTATTGTGGTATTCAAACTGTAGCAGACGATGTTGCACTAATTTCAACAGATTCTTACGAATTACAAATACTAGTAATGCGCTAAATGTCCAGGCAGATCATGCCAACAAACTACGGCATTTACTTAGTGAACAAAAATCCACAGTTATGGTGAATAATGACAAATCGTCAAAATCTTGGACATTAAATGGTAAACCCGTATCAATATCTGAATCGGCAGTTAATTTGGAATTAGATAAAAATATAACTACAAATACCGGGGTGAAAGAAGTTGTGATTAAGCGTATTATTACTGCGAGGAAAACTGTATACTCTCTCATGGGTGCTGGTTTGCACGGTTTGAATGGAGTCAATCCAAAAGTTTCTGTGCACTTAAAACAAATATACATTATACCTAGACTTCTGTATGGTTTAGATGTCATATCTCTCAAATTCAGATATCCAAAAGATGGAATTATTTTTAGACAACTATTAAAGCAAATACAGCACTTACCAAAACGCACATCACTAGCTACAACTTTATTATTATTAGGACGTATCCCTATAGAAGGAGAGATACACAAGAAAATTCTGAAAACAAAATCTGTTGAAAGAGACGTTGCTTTTAGACAATTGGCTATGAAAAATGAAAAATCCAAAAGCTGGTTTACAAAACTTCACAATTTAACCGAAAGTTATGGATTACCGTCGCCTCATGATATCATTGAGAATCAACCAACAAAGTTAAGCTGGAATAGACATGTGAATACCTGTATTAATAATTATTTTTTTACAAAATCTAAAACTGGAAGCAAAAGGGAAATCATCCTTGAAATATATTAATTTTAATGATTCCAACATGGGAACTGTCCATAATATTTGAATAGCAGTGGGCCTGACCAAAATTAACACTCCGTAAATATGGCTACTATTAAAGTTAAAATTGCCACAGACATAATGATTCTTCAGTATCAGAGGTCTAGATTTCAAAATACTTATTTCAGCATATTGCCAATTATGTAACATTGAACCAGAAGATGTGACTCATTTTATACTTAGATGTGAAAAGATATCAGACACAAGAAATCGCTTTATTCAAGAGCTGAAATCTTTTCTTATTAACAGTAATAAGCCGTCTGTATACTGATACTGGAATTATTTGATAGTGAAGACAAACTTTTACATTTGATTATTGACTGCACAACATATCCTTTCCTTACGTTTAAGGAACAGGTCCGCATTTGGGACATTAACCAGACGTCTTTGCTACAAACTTTACCACTAACGTTTATTTTTAATTTCTGAGTAAATTTATTCTAATGGAGTGGAGGTGTCAAGAAAAACAAAATTATAATGTTTTTTTATGTAAGCATTACGATAGAGAAGGGAGCCTAGTCAACGAACTTGATCGATTTGGGTTAACGGAATAACACACGGCTGTATATTATAT